TTTCACTTTGACTTGGCATAACTTTTGTGCCTAGCTGGGAGCAGGCATAAAAAGTCAAATTCTAGATCTTTGCTAGCATCATGATATGTGCAGCACTTTAGCAAAGGAATAGCTTGTTTAAAGTGGTTAGTTTTTAGCCTAAATAAGGTAACACCTAACTTGTAACTTATGTGTATCAACAGTATGTGATTACTTAAGTGAGGCACCAAAAAGCAGACACATCACTTTGTTCAGAATGAGTTTAAAAAAAGCTGCCGGATGTCTGCAAGTTGTCTCGCACATTTTAAAACCAAACAGTTGTTTCAGAAAATGGCTTTTCGCTGTTTTCTTCTGTGTGTTTGGTGTCCGTCGTGTTGGATAAAGACCTCACCTTCAACACGCAATGACTAGAAGCACATCTAGCAATATAACAGAACAACAGAAGAAGCAGACTGCAGAGCTGTTCCTCCAGAGTTCATGTACCCCACGTGGAGAAATGTGAATATCAGGGGTGCGTCGAGATGGGGAGGATCACAAACCCCAAAATAATTTTTTGGATGGTCACAGTTCAAAAAAGTTGAGACACACTGTTCCGTTGAGTGCTGTCCTCCTGAACCAGCCAATGATGACCACTTTTTAAGATGTTAAGATGTTTCTCCATCAGTGTGACTTTAAGCAGACTCTATAACTTAATCAATATGCAAGTTTCATTGTCAGGAAGAGGTGTTTGAATGACATGCCAAATAATCATTCACTACCCGCTGTTTTGTGGCGGTGTGTAAGGGGAGGCATAAGTCCCACTGACGTACAGTGGGGTCCAAAAGTCTGAGAGCACTGGTAACAATGCTTCTATTTTGCATTACTTTCAATTAAATAGAAAGTTTTTCAATACAAATGATATTATCAGCATAACAATTTGAGCTCAAATTGGAATCTTTGAATGTTTACATGAATTTCAGAATTTTATGTTCCCCTTTTTGCTTAAATGACAGCATGCGCTCAAGCTGGCATGGACTAGGTGCGTTTGTACAAAAGCTTTTGATCAGTAGATCGAATCCAGCTGAGAGTCATCTGAACATGTGCTTCAATGGAAGAAATAGGACTAAAAAAGCCGACCTTTTTGTACAAAGGCTTTAACATGGTCAATTTCACAAATTGGCTTTAACTGTAATAGTGACCCAAAAATAGTGAGGGTTTTCAATATTTCTTCATTTTACTTGACAGTTTTGCTGGTGACATCCTGTACAAATAAAAATAATATGTGGCCACACCAGATTAACATGTGGGAATGAGATACTAACGCGAGTCCATGATTTAGTAAGGTGTGTCAATGAGACAGTTGAGATCATGCCTTATTACACTGTGGCCAAGGCTTAATTATCTTATTCTCATGCCTTACCAAGTCATGGCCACACATTAGGATCTCGTTTCCAAGCACAACTTAATCATCTCATTCCCACGTCTTAATAAGTCATGGCTACTCATTATTTTTATTTATACATCTGAGTGCCAGACTAGAGACTAAAAGCTGGACATTTGAGTAGGTCAAGATATATTTACAGAAATAATTTGTGTGACTATCGGCTTCTAGAAATTGCGTTGTTAGCAAGGTAATCAATGTTAGCCTTGTGGCTCCAGTACAAAACTAAAGAAGCAAAATGTGCACACCAAACCTGTCTTCTTGGTTGATATGCACAATATACTCGGAAAAACATATTGACATAATATGATCATTTATCTTGAGAGCAATAAATATTATCACACTGCCCCAAATAGTAATATGATTGTAATTAAACAGTATAGTATAATAATAGTATCATAATGATAGTCTCTCTTTCTCATTAACTGCTGAAAGTTCAGCCTTTAAATGAGCTTTGACAGCATTCATTTGGTGATCTCAATTTCCACGTGTCCTACATCCTCCCACATCAAAGTGTGTGTGTGTGTGAGCAAGTGGGCCACAGACAGACACTCGTTTAACAGTAATTACACCACGTCTGAGTCTGCACTTCTGAGTTACAAGGGTACACACTCATCCCGCTTTCCTATTAAAATACTTGCATCACCAGTGGTCCCTAATTTTCTCTCCTCCAGCTTCTGGGTAGAGCATGTACTGCAGATTTTATCACTTTCCCTACTCTAACACATCTGTACAACTACAGGCTGTAGCCCACCTGTGCACAGTTAACCAGCTGCACTCTCTCTCGTTCATCACTGATCAATTTCCGACCACAGGGCTGCAGCTGAGCAGGTATTATTTGGGTGGTGGATCATTCTCAGCACAGCAGTGACACTGACGTGGCACTGTGTGGTTCGAGTATATCAGAGTTTGCGGTTTTGCTAAGCTTTTACACACGTCACTGTCACTACTGGGTTGAGAGAGGTACACCACTTCAAAAACATCCAGCTGAGTGGCTCTGTGGTCAGAAACCGTTGACTAGAGGATGAAGCCCTAACACGAAATGCATGTAAATAAAAGAGCTACAGTCTCTAACAAGGTACAAGGTCCAATGAAGGGGTTGCTAATAAAGTAGCCCTTGAGCAAAGCCCCTAATCCCTAGAATGCACATGAAAAGGCTGCAATGTGTTCTTTTACGTTCTAGGTAAATGTGAGGTACAAACGACAACGTGGTAGATAATTATTTTGGGTAACTTGATGGTAAATTTCAAGGCAGTCTAACAAAACTGAACTGTCAGTTTACACCAAGGTGTGAAATGCAGGGGGTTGTCAAGGGGTTAACTGAAAGGAAGACCCCCTAATTAACCTCTTGACAAAAGAGGAGATGTATAAAATCTCAGTCAATGTGTGGAAGAGCTCATTATCAACTACAAAAGAGCATTTCCTGAACAATTGTTAAACTGTTAAATTGTGTTACCGTTGAATATTTTGTAGGCATCAGCACCTCTATGGTTAGTGAGTAAGCAGTCAGCCAACACTGGAGCAGCCAGCCAACATGGGACCCCACGAATACCAGGGGAAGTTTCGCATTCTGGTTTACACTGAAATGCCCATCGGGTTCTAGATATTAAAGCCCATGTCTGCTTCTTTTCATGATTTTCTTCTATTATCTTTAGCTTTTGTGATGTTTTTACTATGAACTGGCAGAGGACGAATGATCTTCTTTTCTGTTGAGAGAGTTTTGAAATGACTTTTTTGTGCTGCTTTCTTCAGTTTGATTTGAGCTGAGCGGGACTAAATTTTGCCTCGGTGATGTAAGATAATATGTATCTTTCAGCTAGTCACGTTTCTCTCCCTCACATAAAACTGTAATGTTAGGTTGTGTATGTGTATGTCAATCAGCACCCCTTGGAAAAGACCACCTGGCTGGTAGCCCCCAGGTAATTTGAGTTTGAGAGCCCCTAATCTATATGGAAAGAGGACCTGATAAAATGGACAATGAGTACAGATACAAGATACAAACAATGGCCAGTGAGTGTATATACACATTGACACTCACTCTCTCCTTCTGTGTCTTGATCTCCTCTTAGCTCCACTGATAAAGTATAGCAGATGCTTGCCTTGTTTTCCGTTGTCTGACTGTTGACTAAACGTGTTTCCATGGAGTATGCACTGCTGAAAGCACTGTGTGTGCGTGTGTGTGTGTGTGTGTGTTGCGTCTCTGTTGTGGTTTGGTTGTAAAGCAGTCCAGCTGAATGTGGCTGTCTCATTAAGAAAAGGATGCTGTCATGGATCCAGCAGTGCTTGTCAGTGTTTGTGTGTGTGTGTGTGTGTGTGTGTGTGTGTGTGTGTGTCTGTACGAGTGCACAAGATGCCTACTCATAGGCACTTACAACACACTCTGGCATTAATCTATCCAATACTGATCAGTAGGCATAGGTTTCTATAAGCTCAGTTCGGGACCCATTGTTATCATGTAGTGCCATTTAGAATCTTTGTGTTTTTGGTAATATTTTGCGTGAACCCTGCTACCGAACATAAGCCAAAAACATGCCGTGTCAGATGTCACAGCAGTACACAGATAACCATCACAGCAAATTCTCTTGGACTTTAAACAAATTCCACTGAGCATCGAGCAGTCAAGTTGGGGAGAGAAACACTTGTGTCACGCCCACAGCTCAGTAAGAGTGCCAATAAACGTCAAGTTCATTTTTACACTCTACTCAAATAGATTTATTGAAACACAACTCTTAAAATCATTTGTCACATTTGGCATCAGTTTACTGCCTTTTAACGAACTCACTTTTATCTAGAAGACTGACTTTCTCTGTGTAAATTTCAAGCCACATGTTCTCTACTGTGGCTTTCTGTGGTCTTGATATGGCTTTAATTAAATAAAGCAATGGGAAAATTGCGTTGAGCACTGCTGCGTGTCAGCGCTGGTGTATGTACCTTCATTCAATAACAATCGTCTCAAACTCAAATTTTGAACAATGTGTGAGCAACGTGATGCAGTACAATGGCCTTTACCCTCACTCATTTAATTCATATTGTTATTTTTAGATGATTACACAGGGGTAAATCAAATCATATTTCTTGTAAAGAAGTCATCTGTGTATGCATGTGAGTGCATTTATTACCTTACCATTTTGATTACATGTTATAATGATATGGAATATATTTGCATGTTATGCAACATTATACTGACATATATTGCAGAAAATATTTGTGAGAGATGTACAGTGGGTAGTGGATATATTGGTGTATTGGTATCAATGGGCATCCAGCTGATATCAGAAAATGATTGAATATCAGAGCAAAACCCAAAAGATGTGTATTGTGTGATGTGAGCAGTAGAGTGTTTGAAAAGTTTGAGCATAATAGCCTACTTTTAGATAGTCATCTTAAGTGCAGCATTTTAATTTAAAGTGGCTAATTTTAAAGCTTAGTGGTATTTAAAGAAGAAATATCATATAAATATTCTATATTGTAAAGGTTTCAGTATCAGTGTTGGTATTGTAAAAGAATATGTGCCATCTCTAGTGGGAAAATGGAAACAATGTTAGCAGAGTCACAAAATATTTTAGCATTGAGTGTGTATGTTATGTGTTTTACAGCTTACTCATTTCACAGTGTGCTCCTGTCCAGCCAGATGTGCAGCTGCACGTCCCGCTCACATGGTTACATCCTGCTCCATTCATACAGTCACACACTTGCTCACAGTCTGGACCATACTGGCCCTCAGGACACTCTGACATGGGAAAAATTGAGAATATTTTAAGATATGTATGATAACATATGGAGATCACAGTAATCAGTAATTAGAATGCTCAATATTGTCTACATGTCCAATACTATTAAAATATGCTGTATAACTCAAGCCAAAAAACAAAACATTTTTATTTTGTGTATACATTATCTTTTAATAGTATTGGGAATTTGCACTGTTTTAAGTCTTAACAGTCTGGGTTCCCTCTAAAAAATGCCCTGCCATACTCCAATTACTGTGCTAGCAGTACATGAAGATGTCCACAAGGTGGCAGCAGTTACATTCATTTTGATGTGGAAAGGTTCCTATGTAAACCTTTCACCATCCACAACCACTACCTCATGCTTACAAGCACTCACTGGCTCCACCAGCCCTACTGGTCAACTATTTAGGAGTAGACTGTAGTCCGTCTGTTGCCATGCATAATTTGTCAGCCACCCTCTGCTTCATTCATCACCCGCCAGTTTGTGATTACAGAGAATGGCTCGCACAAATTGTGCATGAACAGACAGACCACAGTCTCTAACTCCTGAGCGGAGTTACAGCTTAAAGTGGTCAGTGAGTGTATTTATGTAATGACATACGCACTGTAGATATACACTGAGGCAAACAGAGAGAAAAGTCAAGAGACATAACGTGAGTTTTAGAGAGAAAAGATGAAAAATCAGACACGAACTCTGTTTGCACTGTTCTCCAGTGTATCCAGGCTCACAGAAGCAGCGCCCACTGCTGGCCTCACATGATACTGCACTGTTAACGCACTGACACGGGTTGGCACAGCCAGGACCCCAAAACCCAGCTTCGCACACTGCAAACACATCATTACAGAAACGGATTAAATTACAGCTTACACTGTGCTTGAAAGTGTTTACATTCTTATAATGGTTGTATTTCAAGTTATAATGCTATAGATTATATAATACAGATTAAATCTGAAATCAGTGGTATTAATATTGAGTTTTTCCCCCAGTTACTGCAGTGGCAGCACTGGGGGAATTTATAACCCGCTAGCCCACACTTGGCATTGGAAGGGATAGATATTGGTCTCACAAAGCCCCTGGGCACACACAAGGGTATTGGTCTCAAAAGGCCCCCTCTAACCTGACACTCTGAACCTGCTGCAAAAAATTATGAAAACATAGACCTTCAAAATAACTTTAAAGCCTTGCCTTCTTGAAATAAAAGAGCTTGATGTAGCATGTAAACACTGTTACAGTTTCAAAACGTACCTTTCACTCTGCAGTACAGTCCATAGATGGAAACTAAGCTGTTAAAAAAGCTCATTTTGAATGTCACAAAAACTTGTGTATTTGCCTATATCCACCTATTTAGTTTACCTCAGTTTAGCCACGCCCACTCTTGCTGAAACATTTCAGGGTGTGGAGTGATTTATGGAGTGATTTCAGCCTAGGGTTTTTTTGAATGAGACACAATATAGGGCAGCCAATCAGAACAGCTGATCATATTTCTGTCTTTTTGAGTTACAAAAAAGCCTGTTTAATTCTAAGGGATAAAGAGAGGTTGGAAAATGCAAAAATTTTACTTTGCCTGTGTTCCGACAAACATCAAGGACAAATATTAATTACGAGAAAAATGTTGGGTATTGGCCCTTTAATAAATCACTCATGTTTGTTTATGCGCACTTTCAACAGTGCTGGAAAAAATTTAACGAAACCAAAATGATTTATTCTCAAATAAAATATATTTGGAAATATATTGTGTATACTGTCTCTCTAACCAATCACAGTTCTGTGAGCCTCTTGACCAATCACAGGTTAAGATATGTTTCTATAGGTTTTTGTTTAATGAATCAAAGTAAATAATAATGCAGGCCGATCTTTAACTGTCACTTTACTGATTTACCAATGGGCTTTTAAAAGGGCCCATACAGTTGTATGCATGAGTTTTAATGCCCCTGGTCAAATTACATGTTTTGCTGATTTTTTGAAGTGAAAAAAGTACATCTTCTACAGGTAACAGACTTTTTACTTTTTTCCAGACTTTTTACTTTGTTCCTCCCACAGCACATAAACAGTAATTCTGCGTTAAAATGTGAAGACGTGCGTTTTCTGTAGAGGACATACTTACTTTCACTTAGAAATTTAAAAAATCAACAAAATGTGTCATTTTTCCAGGGGTGCCCAAACTTTTGCAGGTGACTATCATGAAAAACCAAGCGGATGAAGGACTAGAGGTTGACAGACACAGACTGTGCAGCAACAGATGAGCTTTTGTTTCTAACTACTAGGTGGACCAACAAGGTAGGAGTGTCTAATAGAGTGGACAGTAAGTTTAAAAACTCCAGTGTCTTAAGTGTCTGATTCACTTATATCTGTGCAAGTGTCTGATTCACTTATATCTGTGCAACACACACTAACATGCCACCACCACGTCAGTGTCACTGCAGTGCTCAAAATGATCCACTACCCAAATAATACCTGCTCTGTGGTGGTCCTGTGGGGGTCCTTGCCACTGACAAACAAGGTAAAAGGGGGCTAACAAAGTATGCAGAAAACAGATGGACTACAGATTGTAACTGTAGAATTACAAAGTGCACCTGTGTGATAAAATGAACAAAAAGTGTAGATACAAGGAGGTGTGCGTAATTAAGTGGCTGGTTAAAAATGAATGCATTTATATATATGCACTTATTTAGCCTACAGCCATTTAGCCTCGCCCATTCACACTAAAGTTAAAAGGACCAACCTGGACTCCTTTTTGAATGCAGAGCAACCAATAAGAACAGAGCTCATTTACATACATCAGCCTTCAAGGCACAGAACCAAAACAGCTTGTTTGATTCTAAGGGATAAAGAGGTTGGAATGAAGGAATTATGGCTGGTTTTGGTACACAAACAAGCACAGTAAGTAGATAAAATACATAAACAGATAAAATAGATCAAATAAAATGTAGGATATAGGCTCATTAATACGCAAGTCATATTGGAATTGAAATATTCAGAATTACAATGACAATTCTAGTATCGTACGTTGTCAGGGGGGTCACGGTATCACTTCTCCATTCATACACAAACACACACACACTGACCTGTTGAGCAGTCATGTCCAGTGTATCCTGGTGGACACACACACTCTCCAGTCACAGCGTTACAGGCAGTGTTGGCATGGCAAGTGCAGGATAACCCACACCCTGGCCCAAAGAATCCTGCAGGACATGCTGTGACAGAAACAGGAACATGCAGCTCTGTCATATAATACATTAGAGCAAGAGTCCCTCACTGCAAACCAATGGAAGATTTTGGAACACTACCTTAACTGAAAGTGTTCTCAAAAACCTGTTTCAAAAATATCTAGATACAGGGCCACGAACAAACACATATGTTTATAGTTACTCAAAGTAACATGCATAATCGGAAAATTGTAAATTTTTTTTAAGAGTGTTAAAATATGAGCAAAAAACGCTCTTCTCTAGCCACTAGCATACACAGCACTAACATTAGCATTATAGCTTCCAATACAGCTAACGTTACATTGATAATAAACGTAACATTCAAAGTGATAATTGTAAAAATAGCATCAATTGTAAAAATATTATTTCAGCTTACATTCTGGTGCACTCATTGGTCATATACTAGTACTTAGTGACTGTATCTTCCCCTAAACAACTAACTAAGGCTTTTTATCCTGCAAGATAAAGTGTGGTTGCAGTCATGTCCATATAAGGAACTCAGGGTCTAAGCAGTTTTTTCTCTATAGAAGAAATCGCCACAGTATACAAAAATATTTTATTCAAATAATTTTCATTATCAATACCGATACCAATATCATGATTCTGACACCGATTCCTGAATGATACTTTTTTTCGATACCTTCTTTAAAAACACAAACAGAAAGAGTGTGTGGTTTAAACCAGAAATGAGTATGAGGTGCTGGAAGTGGGTATATTTACTGTCAGTAACAAATTGCAGACTTATGAAGGAGCCTGTTTACACCTTGCATTAATATGTATTTCGTGTGTGCATCATATCTAGATAAACTTTGGCCAGATTTCATTTACACTTTTCACTAAAATGCACGCCCAGTTTGACCAGATGAGCTCCAGTTGTACTTCTCAATACTACAAACTTTACAAATTAACACATAAACGTTTCAGTATTACTTTGTTTACTATTTTCCCCATTATAATACGAGGGGACAAGCTTGGCCTGGACACTTTCATCAGCTTGAAGTGCATGAATGCTCTTAGTTCGGAAATAAATCTAGCCTCCGTCTTTTATTTCGATGTTTCTTCACTTAACTACTTGTCAGCACTTGGCAAATGTGTTTGGAACAAGTATGCCTTTTGGGTCAGGGATGCTAAGACTTACAACTTTGGAATTAAACATCAACATGTTGAATGATAAGGAATTGCAACAATATCCCTGCTATTCAGGTAAACAGGCTAACCTTGGCATGGAACAAAAACAGCTATTCATTTTACTCATCGAAAAAAACTGAGAATTCATTATATGGGTATGCCACCAACTACAACATGAGGTCAATACTCTTGGTCTGTGGTGCCAACTAGTCTTTTTATTATAATGTGAAACTATTAATCAAATATCAGCCAGCATGTTCACTTTGAAGGCACTGTGTGCTTAACTGTATGCTAGTATGAGCAGCAGTAGTAGTAGTCATAGAGCTAATACATCCATAATACATTAACAGCTTATGTTAATACGTCTGATCAGATGTAATATTTAAGTGTAAGGGTGATAATACTGTAATATATTTCCACTAGACATGATTAGATTTTTATATTTTTTTATATTTTATATTTAATATGCCTGATATCTATAATATTTAATAGTGAAGAGGTAACCGCCTACTGCTGATAGCTTTTCTCTGCCAGTGTAATGTTCTCCATGAGTGGAGTTTATTGACCAATTGCCTGGTTGGAATATGCCATCATAGACTTTAAGACATAACCTCAATGGCCCCTTAGTGGATTATGGTACTTATTCTTATTACAGATGTGGGCTGAACTTCTGTTGGGGGTTCGGTGTGAAATGACTAGATCAGGCACTGCAGTAGCTTTTAGCAGCCAATTTAGTCCTTTGATCGCTATTAGTTACTGGCAGTAAGAATGAATACTGAATGTAGCAGAAAGTGTGGCCCTCACTTCAAATCCTCGGTATTCAGCCTATGACTATAAGAAGAACCACTGAGTGGAACCAAGACTCAAACGGAAAACTCTCTAAGAGCATGAGGAACAACCGCTGAGTGGAACCAGGACTCAAAGGGAAAACTCTTTAAGAGCATGAGGATTCTCAAGATTTCTGTATCGGTATCATAAAAGAAGAGAAAGAAAAAGTCTAAAACACTATGTTTCTAAGACAGAGTCCAAGTGCAGACCTGGTTTAAACATTAGCACTCAAATAACTCCCATGAAATCACTCTCGTTATGGCTAAAGCGGCTACTGAGGACTGTTTTAAACATGCCTACGCTTTTCCTTTCTTGCTGGCACAACAGCAACTCTTTCCAAGCCAACAAAAATGAAACACATTAGGGAGCACACATAATAGAGGTCCACACAGGCTTGAGCCCAAAACAAACCCATACCTGCAACTTAGAGACCCAGTCCAACCAGGGCCGACTGCTACAGCTACATCTGAAATCCTGACCTGACCTGACCAGCACAACAGTTGCATTAATGGTCGATGTGTCGTGGAAGAGACAACGTGCCAAATCTGAGCCTGAAAAAGCATAAACCTGGCCCAAACCCAGTATTTTTCAGGCCCCATTGGGATCAGATTGGGTAGCATTATTGGCCATTATTGATGACCTACAGTTGCATCAGCATCATCAAAAATGTTATTGATAATATGCTAATAACAAGAGACTTTTTTGGCTGCAGCATCACCTTAGATGGTACAGCAGTATAGTTTATATTCATTTGACACCAAACACCATCACGGTTAGTGTAACAAACTCATGTGAAATGTATCCAAACCCAAGCTTTAATGTGAATAATATACACATTTTAAAAAGAGGGTTCTTCAAGGGTCCTTAAGTAAAGAGAAATGCCATTAAGACTTAACCTTTTGCATGATTAAATTGTCCTTTGCAAGGTAAAATCTTTCTTCAGATTGATGGAGAATGTGCTGTATATAGTTCTATATAGAGTCTTTTATATAAGGTTCTATATAGCACCAAAAAGGGTTCTTCTATTGTAACAAGCTTGATATTGTAACAATAGCAGAACCCTTTTTAGTGCTATATAGAATGCTTTTCAAAAACAGTTTTACATAGAACCATCTACAGCACACTCTCCATCAAGCTGAAGAACCTATCATGATGCAAAGAACCCTTTAATCATGCAAAGGGTTCTTTGAGTGTTCATGGTTCTATATAGAACCATTTTCTTTATTAAAGGACCTCTGAAGAACCATCTTTTTTAAGAGTGTATATGGTTATACATAACACCAAAAAAAGGGTTCTTCAGTTGTTGCAAGCTTGACATCCTGACATTAAAAAAACCCTTTTCGGGTGCTATATAGAACAATTTTTAAAACGGTTCTATGTAGAACCATCTACAACACATTCTCCATCAATCTGAAGAACCATCAACATGCAAAGAACCATTTAAGCATGAAATGGTTCTAATGGTTCAATATAGAACCATTCCATTTACTAAAGAGCCCTTGAAGAAAGGGCAATTAACAGACACAGAAAACCCAAAGAATCATGTAGCTCCACCGTAAGTTTGGGTGAGAATGTAAATTTAGACAATTTATTGTCTAAAGATAATTTAGACAATTATCGTCTGCAGAATTATTAATAAATGATATTATCATGATCCAATTTCAGTTTTGAAGGAACACATGAGTGTTAACAGAACTGTACCGTATAGCTTACATTATTCCTGATGTGTATGTAGCTACCATCTAGGCTAGTATCTAATATAATTTAATTTATAATGATAATTATATTCTATGTAGATGGCGTGTAACATTGTTAACCTGCAGTGTTTCTCCATTCATTTGATTGCATACCAAAATGTTTCCAAAGTGGCACGTTTCTTTGTTTCGTTTGCATGTATCCCAGCATTCTTCGCCAGAATGGAAATCAACATAATGATTTTTCCAAATAGCCTGACTTGGAAATAGTTAAATAAAGACAAAGCAATTAAAGAAAAATGTCCATTGAAGGAGACCCTCATTTGCAATTTAGCCGAGCCAATACAGAAAACAGGGATTGAAAAAATGGATAGTAAAAACATATCAAATACTTAAAAAGTCAAAGTAATCGTAATAGTACATTTAATAGTTAAAAAAAAGGGGGAAAAAATCAATAAACCATTAAAATTGCAACAATATAGTAACTTAATAAATAACAGATCAAATAAGGATAAAATAAATAAAAACATAATTAAATAAATAAAGGAAAGGTAAAAAAAGTAAATAAAAATAATAAAAGCAAAAATAAATAAATAAAATCACTTGGAACGTTAAATGTTGCACAAACCATAAGCTGAGTAACATCAGCATTTATTTAAATTGTTCCAATTATTCAATAATGATCAATTATCTGCCCATGGCTACTTTATGTTCAGTGCTATAATATTTATACTATTTTAAAAGTTCTTGAAAAAAATGTTTCTTTTGTTTATTTGAGTTTATGAAGTGCAGCAGTACAGCAACTTAAAAAATGAAAACTTTAAAAATTAAAACTTTAAAACTTAAAAATCTAAAATTAAATCTGCCAATATTATCAGTTACCAGAATTCTCAACCTTTTAAAGTCTGTATCGGTATCTGGCACAAAATTTTCATATCGCACACACACACACACACACACACACACCTCCTCCACACACAGACACACACATTACTTAGTGTTAAATCTAACGGCTCGAGAATCTTTATAGCTCTGTCTATTATAATTGTGACAGTAACTGAAATGTTACTGTCACTGCTGTCTTCATTAAATAACCTTACAGGCAGAACTCTCACTCTCTCCCACACACAAACACAGCGTGATTGAATTACCGACAGGGTCAGCGATCTGGACTGTCAGTCGTTTGTCATGTGGGAGATTTTATAGCGAGTGTGGTTTCGTATTAGATTAGCTCTCAGACAGGCTGATAATGAGGATGTCTAGGTTGGGTCACATCAGGCTACTGATTTATTCATTGTGCTTGACTCAAGGCAAGCAGCCATGGTCCAGCCATACTGCACTGGCATCAGTTACCACTAGAGGGCAGTATAATGCAGCAAGTTAACAACAACTGAGGCCTAAGCCTATTTTTGCTTAGATGACTTAGGTAAAACAGTAAATAAAAACCCCTATTATAAATAACCACTGAAGGTTATATGTTCTTTTTCAACTGGAAAAAAAAAATGCTGAAACATCTGGTAACGTTTCGGAGGTGTGATTGTATTAGTTGAAAATGGAACGTTGTATCATTTATTTCTAATAAAATAAACATAATTAAGGTATAAAGTCACTCAAAGTAAAAGGACTTTTAGTCCAAGCAAGTTAAGTAAGTTAAAAGTGTGAAAGTGTTTTCAACTCTGACTTTGAACCAATTCAGTAGAATGTTCCAGACAGGCAGAACCAACAGCAGATAGGAAAAGACTGGATACAGCCAAAAAGTGTTATGAAGATCCGGAAAGTCCATGACTATGCTCAAAACTGAACAATATAAACGTACAAAGGGCTTTTCTCATACTGCCCCCCCCCCGCCCCCCCTTAAAACAATGGAATTTCACCACTTAACTGTGAAACCTATGAGTAGATTTCAAATTGTGACATTCATTTTCAGGACAGCTGTAAAAGTAGGTCTCTATACCAAAATGGTTCAGAGCAATAAACAACATGTGAAACATTTTTTATGGTTTTTAATGTCACTAACAAGATGGTTGATTTCAGAGGGCTATTAACATACTGACAACAAATTGGGGTGTGTAAAGCCGATTTTGCGATTTTAGCCCGTTTTTAAGCCTGATTTGGTCGGAGCCGACTGAATTTCACGATCGGGCCAAATTTTAGCTTCATTGGCCATCGTTTGTCGTGCAGTGTGAGAGGGGAAACGATGCCCAATTAACTGCCCAAATGAGCTCTGATTGAGCAGTCGGACGATCGGATGGATTTCTGACATGTCAGATATTTTGGTCGCTTGTCTCGCAGTGCGAGCAAAATCGCACCCAAAACCTCACACAATCATAACCACCGATCCTACACGGAGGCAAAAAAGTCCACAGCACCAACGTCCATGCCTGCCGACTTTGGTATAAATACAGTGATTTTTTGTCTTTATAGAGCTGTCTATAGAGCGCCTGTTCTTCAGCTTCAGTGCACAGTGTGGCACAAGTTAGCAAAGCTGTTGTACCGGTTTGTCAATGGCTCATTGAATCTCAAATGGCCCCTCCTTCCTATGCAGTGCACTAAATTCTGACTTCTACACCAAAATAGTGCACTGTTTGTCCAGTATGGAACTGTGCACACTTGGCTGAACCTCAGAAGGCTATTTATTAGACATGTGATGTACTTTATGGGTGCAGAAGCAAGAATTTTAATATGCGGTGCACTATGTAGGGAGCAGTGAGCCACTTGAGATTCAGCCAATGTTTTTGCCCGGGACTTGGCACAGCGTGTTGTTTTGAATGAAACAGCTTTATTGGAAATTGTAGACAGAGCTGTTTGTAGTGGCTGCGTTTCACATGCAGTGTGAGCACCCATGTTGTGTCATGTCAGTCGGACAGAGTGTTTTCGTACAGTGTGAGTATATAAATAGCAAGCTTTGGCTGCACAATGGGCGATTCAAACGCACAGTGTGAGCCGTCACCAAAGAACAAGATTTCTAAAATTGCACAGTGTATGCCTGGCTTATGTGTGTCTATGTGAGACAGAGAGAGAGAGAGAAATTTCAGGCTCACCCAGTTGGCATTTCTCTCCATAGAGTCCAGCAGGGCACTTCTGCTGACATTCTCCGGTTGTATGGTTACATGACACAGTGTCAGAACAGTTACACTGCTCTCTACAGCCACTACCGTAGAAACCAGCTGCACATTCTGCACAACAGTAATAAACAGAATTCAAACAGAGGAATGACTGAGCCATGCAGTGTTCTCTACCCAAATCATATCTTCTAAGCATTTATTAACCCTGCTGAAAAAATAAAAATATTGGTAACATTAGGATCAAAAACTGATGGGTTTCCTTTCCAATGGGAATTTCAATGGCAATTGTTTCCTGGAGGACGTTTCCTAAATCCTATTAGGAAACCATCAAATGCATCTGTATTCAGTCCCAGAACAAATGTTAACCCATTAGAATCCTTTACACTGTCATGCCAACCCATCAGGAAAGAAATAATACTATTAGTGACTGTTGGATGCCACCAGGACCCAACAGAAACTTTTAATGGTTCCTTTGATTTTTTTAGCAGAGTAAAAGCAATCAATTGTAAGCAATTTTCTCCTGACCCCAAATGTAGATAAAGCACGTCTGATATCTAACGTGACCATCTTTATTGTTAAGACCATTGCAAACTTAACGTGATGCTAATGAAAGGCATGGAAATTCAGACACTTTTTTTGGCATCTAAACTACACACACTGGACATGGCCAAGTTGTGCAAGATATCATCCGCTTGAATTCATTTACTGTTGTCCAAATGAATTCCATAAAGAAATCATGCCTGGTGTGTAAAGCCCTTTGCACTGGAGCTGGAGCAAGTGATGGACATTTATATGTACCTCGGATGTTGTAAAACAGCATCTCTAATAGACTTGTTTATGTGGTTTCTGACACTGTATGACATACTGTTATCGTTAAATATTTACCCACATTTAGGCTTTAAAATGGCTGCTATACAACTGTGCAACGTTCTTTTGTTGATTTTGCTTCCTTCTGTAAACACTGCTTTCTATTTTCTTTTTAATTGCTTGTTCATAGAGCTGGGCATATGACAATATTCATCATTATTGTGATAAAGTACAACACAATATGTCATAATATGCTTTTCTGAGATTGTCAAGGATATCAAAGTACTTAAAAATACTTTCCAAGCGCATGTTTCATTACAAAGAGAGTATAATTAGTCCTGTTTAATTAGATCTAGAAATGTGGTACTACTTCGTCTGTACCATCTAATCAAGCTCTATTGGTTCAATGACAACTCATACGATTGGTTGAACTGTAACAAGCCGGGCCTACCCGTGTTGCAGTGGTCACCGTGGTAACCAGGTTTGCAGATGCAGGTCCCATTTTGCGGGTCACAGCTGAATGTGTTGTCCTGCACGCAGTCACACTCCTCCGAACAGCCAGCTCCGTGTGTCCACCTTGGACATGCTAAAAAAAGCCAGAAACCAGAGATGAAGCTTTCATTAGCTCTTCTCTGATCAGGGGTCACACACTGAGGACATGCAATCATCAGCCACTTCATTAGAAATCCCTATCGTGTGGTTCCGCTTGGCTGGTGTAGCAAAATTACAAATGCGTTATTTTAAATAATCAGATTTTGTAACTTTCAAAGCTGCTCTTGGCTGGATATTTTTGGGTGATGAACTACTCTGAATCTAGCAGTGACACTGATATATAAAAATCCCAGTCACACAGCTCAGACCAGCCACACAACGTTGATGTGATGTCTTTTTTCTTGCTGGATTATGGTTGTAACATCAAATGCAACTTGAACTTGCAGCTGTTTAAACCAGTGTGTTGAATATTGGTTGAGCTGGCTTTTAAAGATGATGCTAACATGTTTAATTTCTGTTTTGAGTCAAATATATCTAAACTTTGGGACTTTATCAGAGCATAGTTATATACAATACTGTAGTACCACTGTCAATTTTACAATTCCTCACATCTCTTGTGAGCTTCATAGCAGGGGTATGTTAATTACTCCGGGAGGCAACTTCTTTTTGTCTTTTCAGGAAAATCAGTTTTAAAATAATTGCTCACAGTGCACTTGTAATAGGTTGGTAGAAATAAATTAAATTTAATACCATTTTGCTTCCACTTTGCATACATTGTACACACCAATTAGTCAAAACATTACGACCACCAGCCCTCTGTGTGCCACCAAAACAGCTCTGACCTACCAAGGTATGGACTCTACAAAACCTCTGAAGGGGCCCTGTGATATGTGGCACCAAGACATTAGCAGCAAATCCTTTAAGCCCTGTAAATTGCGAGGTGGAGCTGCCATAGATCGGACTTGTTTCCAACACATCCCATGAATGCTTGATTGGATGGAGATCTGGCAATTTAGAGGCCAGAGCAGCTCCTTGAACTTTTTGTCAAATCATTCCAGAACAATGTGTGCAGTGTGGCAGAGCTCATTATTCTGCTGAAAGAGGACACTCCCATCAGGGAATACCATTGCCATGAAGGGGTGTACCTGGTCCTCAACAATGTTTAGGTAGGTGACATATCAAATTGATGTCCCCATGAATGGCAGGCCTCGAGTTTTCCAGCTGAACACTGCCCAGAGCATCACAGTCCATCCACAGGCTTGTCTTCTTCCCACAGTGTATCCTGGTGCCATCACTTCCCCAGATATGTACCAGTATATACTCGCCACTGCTGACCACGAGCACCCCACTAGCCATGCCGTTTCGACGATGTTCTGACCCAATTGCCTGGCCATCACAATTTGGCTCTTGTCAAAGTCGCTCAGATCTTCACGCCTGCCTGTTTCTCCTCCATCCAACGCATCAGTCACAAGAGCCAACTGTGCCTTGATATGCGCAGATGTCGCTAGATAATTAGTGTCATTCACTTCATGTGTGAGTGGTCATAATGTTTTCAATGTATATTTGTATATACAAACATCTGAGTGTCTTAAATAATGAATATTAGTTGGTTGTCACTGGATCTGTAGCTTCAGATGTTACTGTTGCATATCGTGAAACCAACTGTCTCATCTCATTGGATAGGCTAGGCGTAAAAATGCTGCAAATCTTTATTTTGCTTATCAATTGTAAAAACAGAAAATCTTGGAGGGCACTTACGCAAGTGGCAGAATTTGCCGTAGAGTCCGGGGGCACACAAACACCCCCCATACAGGCGGTGGCAGCGTCCGTTATTGGGGCAGTTACATTTCCTCCGACAAAACCTCCCGAAGAAGCCCTGGGGACAGCCTGGACAGCCATCACACACCGTATCAGAACAGAAAAGAGAGTTCTAGTACGCTAGCATTTTATATATCCAGGCATCCTGGAATTCTTGCAGAATTCAAGCCCCCATATTGAAGTGATATTTTACTTGTTTTAGTTTTGCACTGGAGGTGCATAGCATTCTGTAGTTGCCATCATGGGCATATGAGGAACTCCAGATTTAAGGACTTCTCTTTGGGGAAAAATCAATTGCTTTTTAAAAAATCACTGCTATCACACCCTGTGGTAAACAAAAACATTCTAAATCCAATATGTTATGCCGTATGAATATTTTTCCCCTGAATATCATTATATCCTTTGAATTATGAGGTCAATAAGCAGTCAAAATATGAGCAATGCTACATACAATCTAACACTTCTGCGCACTGAATTGATGTCATAAGACTGGCAACTTCACCACAGAACCCCACTCAAATCAGTTAGCTTTGTCATAGCTGACAGTCACGCTGCATTTGCCATAGAAGCCTACAGTTTGAATAGCTGGTTTCATGTAACAGTGTTGACGTTTTATAGTAGACTTTCGCATTCATGCAATGTCAGTTCAGTGCTCAATGTCTTGGCTTGCTTGTAGCATGTATTCATGCGTTGACTGCTAAACGACCTTGTAATTGAGGATCCAGTGACACTCAGGAGAACTATGTACACAGGAGAAAACAAGTTTGAAAGATTTTAGTTTACCACAGGTCATGACAGCGGTGATTTTGAAAAACGCCATTCGTTTTTACCCATCGAGAAAAACTGCTGTGGCCCAGCGTTCCTAATCTGGGAATATATCAGAGTACACAATGATCACATGACTTTAAAAGTCTATTGCATATGTGATGCTATATGACATACTGTTATTTATAATAACAGAAAGAATTACATCTTGTAGCCAAAAACACTAGCAAAAGTCATCTTATAGGTTGGATTTTTATTTTTACTATTTTTATAGATGTTGACTACATTAGCCTTGCATCTCCAATGCAAAACTGAAGAAGCAAAGTTCATACACCAAACATGTCTTTGCTGATCAACTATATTTGGGGTAAGGAAATCCAGGGAAAGAGAGGAATTTGATGAATGCAGCCCCCAGCAGGGTTCCTTGAAGAGGGGCTCACTGTGTACATACCGTTTTCACAGTGCAAGCCGTGGACTCCTGGAGGGCAGTTACACTTCCCGCTTACAGGATCACACCGTCCACCGTTCTGACAAACACACAAACTGTTGCACCCCACACCATACGTCCCCTCCGCACACGCTGAGAGAGAGAGAGAGAGAGAGAGAGGGAGAGAGAGAGAGAGAGAGAGAGAGAGAGGGAGAGAGAGAGAGAGGGAGAGAGAGAGAGAGAGAGAGAGAGAGAGAGAGAGAATGTTTACATTTTTATTCAGCTATAAGCTACATGGCTGTCTATCTAACATTTAGTGCACTTGTTGGCTGTAGACCCCATAGTTTCACAATCCATTTAGTGAACTATGTAGGAAGTAGGGAGCAATTTGAGATTCATCCCTAGTTTTAACCTAGCCTCACTCTAATCCTAACTGTAACCTCACCCCAAAACCTAAACTTGACCCTAATGCCCATTTTTTCATTATTTTAAAATAAATCCTATACAGTTTACTTGACCATGTTGAAAGAGAGAATTATCTTTCATCCCATTATATCACAAAAAACTGAAAAATCCATATTAAAATCCATTAAAAAATGTTTATTAGATTTAGGTGGGCTTATTATTTTCACCTATATTGTGTATTCTGGATGGCTCCAGGGTTCCAAACAAGCTCAAACAATGAAAACAAAAAACCAAGGCTGCAGTAATTATTCAATATTATTCCATTACATTCAATAAGCTTGATAATTAAGATGCACATCAGACTCCTGATGATGTGGCACAGCTTGTGAGACTCTCATAATTCCAGTATTGTTTTAACCCCTTAAAATCCCAGTCTTATTACATACGAAGGCTCAGTATTCAGTAACTACAGGGACTTTACTGCAAACTGGCTGAGCTATTCTTAGGTTATAGAAGTGTGTAATAAAACTTGGGCCCGCAGACAGACCCTTGCCATATAAGGTGCAGTCCAAATAAGTTTCCTACTTCTCCAGATTGCTAGCTAGCTAGTTAGTAGGCTCTTGGTTGCATTCATTATCAAGAATAAACGAGAATGTGTCAGCTAACTAGCTGTCCAGAGAGGCAGGAAAATTATTCAGATTATACCAGCCATTAAAGCCGACATGGACAAGTTTAGCACATGCGCTGAGAAACTTAAAAACCTTCATAACTGTCAGAAGAAAGGGTACTGCATACTACACTTTGTCCTTTTAAGGTACATATGATGTAACTCAAACATACCCTACAACATTGTTATATCTGATATATTATATAGTATTTTTCATTGTATAGTATTTTCATTTCTGAGGCCTGGAGGAAACACAGTTACCCTTCGTGTTTTTGGTACACACCTGAAAAACCCTAAACGTGAAGAGAGGGGAATGTACAGTATGTAAGACATATTTATTGAAGTGGCAGATTACCGTGGTGATCTTAAACATATGCAGACGTCAACCCTCCTGTGTCCTCCTGTATGTGTGTGTATGTTTGTATTGTATCAGAATTGACCGATCCATACTGGCCATACATCTCAACACCAGAACACCATCTGGACCTCGTAAATCGCCTCCAATTCTGCATTCCACGCGCCACACTTCAAACGGATTAGCACACAAACCGCTAATGCACAAAAGTACCATTTCATGGCCCCCTGAAGAGTAAGGTAAAGCAATATGGTCACCACTAATCAGCCCCAGAGCCCAGCGTGAGTGTGTGTGGCGAATGCACCATTCTACTAAATGAATTTCATAGAATCATCATGCTCATTGTTTTTGAACTCTGCTAGTAATATTCTTTATTTTATTGTAAAGTTTTGGTTAATTAGAAAATTGTCCAATCAGGATTGTCTTCCCCATAGTATCTAGGCAGATACAGCCAACGAGCCAGGAGCTGGAATGAATAGTATAAAAGGGATGTTCAGCTGATGGCTGTTTTACTTAGCATTCGTTTTGGTAGTCTGTTTAAATGCCAGCACTCTTGGCCTCAATTTGATGGTGCAATATGGGCTAATTATGCTGAATGGTGCACTACAGATGTTTAGCTTAACCTGCCCCATTTACACCTGGCATTAATGTGCATCCTGGGTGATCTGATCATAACTGAACACCAATAAGTACAAGTATGAACAAGGTTAAATCAACTTCTAAGGAGGTCAGGGACGCATATGACCAGTATAAATCATAAAACGTCTCGATATGTCTTCGACAGCAACCGCCTTAATCAGCTGAGTCATCGGAGGAGAGATTAAAGCCGCTGTGTAGTAGTTGCATTAGCGATCATCAAAACCATTTATATTTCTGAACTATGACCATCAATGCCCCAAACTTTTTAACCCATGAGATTTACATTCACTGCTGTAAGACCACAGCAAAGGCAAAGAAGGAGAGTCTTACAGTAAACCAGCAGTCCTTAACTAAACTATGAGACTTGACAGCTATGCAGGTTAGTTGTTTAGCAGGTTAGTTAGGCTTCTTGTGACATGCCTGATAAGCCAATAGGCTAATTTTCTCCTTATTCCCTGTAAATATAGTAGTATTCGAGGTCAGTGGAACGCATTGGTGAAAGAATATTTGTATTCATGCATAATGAACAAACATACTGAAGTGTGCGTTTTCAGTGATGCACAACATAGGAGAGCCAATCAGTACATAGGTCATTAACTTTGCAGGCTTTAAAGGCACGGTAGCAAAACAACCAGAATTCAAAAGGATAAACAGAGGTTGAAAAATGGTAAAAATAAAATGTAAAAATTAATTATGACCATTTTTGGTACCTAAAATTACACCAGTGTTATAAGTGGACCTCAAGGGAGAAATAAAATACAAGAAAAATGTAGGATATGGGACCTTTAATGATAAAACTACAGTTTCTGATGGCACTTTTACTGTGTAGCAGTACGCCAGCATGCCTGGAAAACTGCCTTAAAACTGCTTCTGCAACATATCAGATTTTAAAGGCCCCTTATTGTGGAAAACTGAATGTTCCTCACAGTGTCCATTCACTTCCCAGTCCATGCAGCCCATATATGGAAGCTAACCTGCAAAAACAGTCAATTTTGAATTTCTCATTTTGTGATGTCATTTACATGTCTCTGCCTATTCAGCCTATACAGTGTTTCAGCATGGACTTCTTTCTGATCAAGGCACAATACAGGGCAGCCAATCAGAATAGAGCTCATATAAGAGTCTTAAAGGTGGTTACAATAACAAAAACAGCCTGTTTAATTGTAAAGGTTTTAGAGAGGTTGAAGAATGGTTATATAAAAATGATTTAACACTGTTTTGAGTACATCAACCCATAAATGTCATAAGTGGACAAAAACATATAAGCATATAAGAATATTGTAGGATATTGGCCCTTTAAAGCAGGATTCTTTTACATACAACGATGACAGACAGGTGAGGTGGACAGATGAGAATAAACAGGCCATAAAACTGAGATCAGTGATCGGAGTATGTAATATGACTCACTCTGGTTACAGGTGATCCCTGTCCAGCCTGCCGTACACACACAGCCATCTCTCTTCTCTCCACAACCACCACCATTAGCACAGTCCTCGCAGGTAACACTGCAGTCCTCACCAAACGAGCCTGTCACACACACTGATACATACAAACACATATATGATCACAGATTTGCAGTAAATACAGCAAAAGTGCACATACAAGTGCAAAGACCAATAATTATATGAAGAAAAGCAAGACTGAGGGAAAAATCCATAATACATGATAGGGGTGCGGGAAAAACTTGATTCTTAGATGCATCGCGATGCGGACGTGAACGATTCTGAATCGATTCACAAATGTCAAAAATCGATTTTCTAAATATTTCATTTATAACATAACGTTGACGAAACGCAAAAGGCAGAACTGGAAGTTCGGAAGTGCACCACCTGGACAGTCTGTGGCGGCACATAACAAAAACACAACTGGATGAGTGAGAAATCCGACCGGCTCCCTCTGCATTAAAAGCCAGGTTAGATCAGGAGTCACAACACAAATGATAAGAAGAGACATTTTGCCTTTCAACAAAGCAAACAAACCACCTTGGGAGCCACAACATTTAATGTCTCAGTATGTGTTAATGTCCTAGTATGGGCTAAAAATATAAACAAGAGCGCAGATTTACTTTGCTCTTCTCTCCGCCAGAAAACCTTTCTTCAAAACTAGAAGAGTTTCTTGTAAAATGTCTCAGCTTTCGGCTGTTTTACGAGGCTGAAGGCGCTTCTCATTCGCCAGCTTCTCGTTCTAATTTTCACGTTTCACCTTAAATTCTGCCTTAGGCTCCAATGTAATCGCTGAACCATTTAAGGTGGAACGGGAAAATTCGAAAGAGAAGCGAGTTCATTTTCACAACATTTTTTTTAACTCTCGTTGCAGATTTAACCAACCGCGCTGCTTATAAATGCGAATAAGTCCTCCAAATGTTTGTCTTAATCTCTGTTTTTGCGTTCGCTACTGGCGAGGCCAGACCTCGGTGCTATGTGACCTGCTGTCTGCTGTCTGTTCTCAGTCGTTGAGAACCAGGGCTTTTGCGCTATGCTGCACACTTTGGAGCCGAGATTCAGCGTCCAGTCTCGAAAATACCTAGTTTTCTAGCATAATTTCGTAAAATGGAATTCCAGTGCTTTTTCAAAATATCCGCATAATTAAGTCTTTAACATGAAAACTAATTCAGAGTGGTTTGATGTGAGGTACTCCATTCTCGAGAAATTTAGAGTCAGAATCGTTCACAGTAGAGGTGATAGGAACCTGAAGAGTTTAACCGCTCTAATATCACTGAAATATCACTGAAAGCTATAACACAAAATATCTAAGTACTCTGCTAGGTGACTTAAACATTGTGTAATGGTAGTGTTGAGAGAGCATTTGGCCAAAAAATGCATTTTTAAAATCCATTTGTGGTGAAGAGGCACAGAAAAATCAGTAACTTACATAAAGTCAGTGTAACAACATTGTATTTTAAGCATTTCTGACCATTTCTGTTAGTACAGTTGTCATGAAATTTTGACACAGTGTAAATAACAGCTGGTGATCACAAATAAAAAAAAGGCCAACAGTGACGATATATTAAAGCACAATGTGTGTGCTAATTGTAAAAGGCCTAATAATTCCTGGAAACATTGCAAATATTGTAGCAATTCACTTATTTCATTGTTAAGTGTTTCATCATCAAATTAAAATGGGAAACAAAAGGGTTAAGATCTTGAAACACCAAACAGAAAAATGTCCAGTCTGTTTTTTCCACCATGGTATCAAGGTACATACAGCCAAGGAAGCCCTCCCCAATCAGGACATTAGGAGCTGCATTGAAGGCCTTAGATGATAGACTAAGTACCAACCTACAGTATATATCACGTTTTGTTTTCCAATGGGTGGGACCAGTTGCATGAGAAAAAATGTCACTGTAGGCCTTCTGGGAGTCCTAGGTACATGCAAGTGCGAGTGGTAGCTTAGCCAAGTTTCAGTTTCAAGTTTCAGCTCTTTACTGAATGAGTCACTGTAAAACTGCTAAAGGGGAATTACATATTATTGGCTGTGTTCAAAATAGCTTACTGTGTACTGTATACGTACTGTACACTGCATGCAACTCTGCATCAGTATTACACAGCATAGTATCCAATGTGCGAAAAAAAGCTGTGTGGCATACTGTAGGGAGAGGGCGTCACTGGACTGCCAACATCAGGGACTGAGAAAGTCCCATTTCAGACCCATTGCAAGACCTGCCCCTTTTTCCTCAGTCCTCCAATCACTGCTGATGGTTGTTGATAGCAGCTTTCCAACTCTTTAGGCACATGTGTGGATATATTTTGGTTAAAATTTGAGCCTGTGTGACTTTTAAAAGACACCCCATACCATGACACAGTGGAGGGTGCTGTTTTCTACCCATCTCCAAAGCCACAAAAAAGCTCTGGATCTAAATGTTGAGTCAAATCATTTTTCATTACGTTTGTAGTTGGTAATATGAGCTAGTCTGACTGAATAATAGGCAGCATGACTCCACATGTGAGCCTGAAAACCCGAAGATGAGAGGACTGTTTGTTTGAGACAACTTTAGTAAGTTACTGGTTTAACCACATGTGCACAAATGTAGCTTAGTGCTAACATACTATTAGAAGTCCCTTAGGGGTGCTAGCAGAAATGAGCATAATCATAGCATTTTTTTACTTATATGTCTTACTAATTCTGCTGATCACAGTGAGCTCTTCTCTCTGCTCTTGGTCGCGTGTGTGTTCGGAGTAGGATGTATGTGTGTCTTCACTGTCATAAGGTGAGTGTAAAGCAGCAGTGTACTGCAGGAGCTGTGGGGCTCTCCGGAATAAAAGATCAGGGAGACGAAGGATTTCCAGCTCCTCTTCGCCCCCCTCTTTCTCCTCCTCCTCCTCTTCTTCTTCTTCTGCATCAATATCACTCGCATAGAGAGCTGCACAAACACCCAAACACATATATACACAGAGATGGACAAATTTAAAAGCAGTCAAAAGGATATACCTACCTGACTGAATGTATGATTTTCATAACCTTATAGACATTTAAATCTAAAGACTTAAATGCTTGAAATATCTGTGATGAGCTGATTTCCAAGTAAATACACTCTCTGCGAGTACTCTTTCTTCCTCACAGTCACTGTGTTGTCATGCCCAGCTGTAAATAGTAGTGTTACTGAACTTCCGCCTGCACTGTTTAACAGTGCGGCAATGGAGCGTCGCTGGTTTTCAGCCTCCCTCAAAAATCTTTCCTTTGGCCAAGTTTCAGTGTGGCCACCAGAACAGCAGCTGCCATGTCTGGTAGTTCCCTCCAACATGGATAAAAAGCTAGTTTGACTTGCCCAAAAAGTTGAAAACATTTGAAAACTGCAGCCTACTCTGTCTTCCACTGTGCTCGCCTGCCTGCCCCCACACAGCCCATTGGGGTACTCATCTATTTCTCAAGGTTGATAAGCAAACCTTGGTGATAACAATGTAGAGGATGAAACATATGCCAGTGAATTCATCTTCAAGCTGAGCATTTTTTAATCACAAATGCGACTGTCCTACTGTTCAGCCTGGTATTGGCTCTCTGGTTCTGCTTTCCCCTCTTTTTTGATTGGTTACATCATGAAAATATTATTAAAAATCCCATTAGTAAAAATTGTTGTAAAAGTGGGCTTTTTTTTCTCATTTTTTGACAAGTTCTGATATTTAAGGCCAGAAATGAAGGCTTTACATGTAATTAGTTCTGAAGAGTTTTAAATAGTTCCATATATTATTTGATGGTTTAACTTTTATTTTAAAATGCAGAATGTAGTACAAATTAAGAAAAAGCCAAACTTTTCACTGCCACTGTTTTCATGTCATGCATTCAGAAAACTGTCCTGTTTATTAATTAAGCACAAAGTATTAATCGTGTGATCACATTCTCTAGCGTGTGAGTCAGTGCCTAAATTAGTCTTCCTCAATCTGCAGCACTTAATGCAATAGTTCAGTAAAATATCAAGGAATTTTCCTGTTACCTTGAATGTAGTTGATCAGCTATGACATCTTTGGTGTCTGAAGTCTACACTGGAGTTATGAGGCTAATGTAGGTATATAGGACTGGAAGTGCATGATCCAAAAATTAGCATTGTGCAAACTGCATGACTGAATCATCACACACTTGCCTCAAATTGCAGTGTCCTAAAGGGAAATTACACCAATTTTTCAAAAATTCTGCATAATTAAATGGTTAAGATGTAAACAAAGTCATTAAGAGTGGTTACTGAGTCAGAATTGTTCACAGTGGTGGTGATAGGAACCAGACATCTGAAGTGTTTTATGCTTCTAGAAGCTCACAGAAAGTTTTACATTACTGTGTATTATTTATTTTTATTATTGTTATTATCTATAAAATTAGTGAAAAGTGCAAATAAAATTCAGCCATCAAGATGGTTGTAACTGTTGTGTATGCTATGCAATGTACTTTATTCCATTTTTGTAGATAATGTTAAACTAAAGCAATCTTAAATTTCATATTTCATACACACAATAGTTATCTTGCCTTTCATGCATAGCCGTATGTGGAACAAATACCAAAACTTAGTTTTATGTACAAACTGGAGCTATTTAATATCTAATTATCTTCCCTTGAAACAAAAACATCTTGATAAATGCTAAAACAGCAGTGTTGCACTGCTGGACTGTGTAGTGAGTGAAGTGCAGTACTCACGGAGACATGTCTGCTGATCATAGTCCAGCCGGAAGCCCTCCCGACAAAAACACTCGTACGATCCTGGCATGTTCACACAGTAGTGATTACACCCTGACGTCTCCAACACACACTCATTAACGTCTAAGGAGAGAAATATCATGTTAGAAATATCAGTTAGACACAATCAGATACTGTCAGACTGTACAGGAACAAATAAACCCATTAATGCTGTGTTTACAACTGAATAGTCCATGTTAGTGCTGTCATGATCATGAAACTTTAGCAGATCATGAAATTTAAATTTTCATATAAATTAAATTAAATAAATTAACAATTTGTCTTTTCTTGTTCATTGTTTGCAACTATTACAATACAAGTAGCTAAGACTAGTTGTACTGTCCAATCAATGCAGAGCACACTCATAACATGCCTACAGTTACACAGAACTATGTGTAGAGTCCAGTGGTCATCTCAAATAACTGCAATTAGGCAACTGCATAGTAAATGTGACAGACCTATTCCATGCTTTTGAATGTTGCGGTGAGTACCAGTGAGCAGTCCGTGGAACATTCTGACAAAGAGGTCAAGAAAAGTTTTCCCAAATTTTGCCAGTGTTGGAATAAAACACCATTAGAAAAGTCAGCATGTGTTTCAAACACTTTTTAGGATAAAATGGCGTTATGCAACAACTAAAGTTTAGGAGGAGGACCACACCTAAATCTTCTCCTCTTTCTAATCTAACATCCTGTGAATTTCCATCTCTACCTTCTGTTTCCTGTGTGAACGTTTTCGCACCCCACCACCACTCCGTGTCCTCCCTGTTCCCCAGTCCTATCTCTGTTCTTTAATAGGAAATCTGTTCTTCTACCTTAAAGCAGTAGCCATCCAGAACTCAGAATTCAAGTTCTCAGAATTCTCTCCACACCTACAGTCGTACACTCTTTTCTCACACTAGAACCATATGTTCAAGGCGTGATCTGAACTAGTAAAATAATGGCTCCATCACCCTGCACATGGGCATGTAAGGCATCGTTATTCCAGTAACGTTATCACCATGGCAACCCTTACATGGCTGCCCACCACGTGGCACGTTCCGTCGCTACTATAAGGCACAAAATAATATATATAATAATATTTTTTTTTCAACGCCAACATGTAAACACAGCATAAGACTAAACGACTGTCTGGACATACAGTGTCCCTCATATAAAGTTGCATAAAAAATGCAGAAGTGACCACTTTTAATGACATATAAACTACTTTGCATCTGATTCATGAAATGGAGATTTGAGCGCAGTATGTGAAATTAAGCACCAACCAGTACCTAATTAACATATCATTCACATGAAGCACACCCTAATTCATGTAGATGTTTTGGAGCCACTAAAACAACAGCATTCTGCAGCTGATGAACCAATGGCTGTGCTAGTAGGAGGACTTTAAGGTTAAACGCTAATTGCACTGCTCCCTCTACTGGCCAAACTTTATAGTGTTAAGATTACAAGGACTACAAAAAGAATAAAATGTGAAATAAACAAAACGTTGTTAAAAGCTGTACTACTGCAGTGAACAGGATGCTTCTGCACTAGCTATGTTTTTGTTTTGTTTATTTTTTGGGTGGTGTCAGTATAAAACAAAATGCAGTGTAATAAAATAGAACATGGAATATTTGTAGGATTTGTTCATAACAATACACATGTAAAATAAACACATCCACTTATTACTGAATTGGCATGTGCACAGATTATAAGTATTATTGTTATTTTGTGTTTTTATTCTTATATATATTCTGATTCTTATTGCTACCAGACATGAGTTTGATCGTACAGATAGGCCAAAGATGAAACTGATGAATAACAAAACTGTTGGTGAAATTCGCACGTGCTCATTTTGTGATCAGATATGATTTCAAACACAGCAAGCCTTTTTTTAAGTAACTCTTACGGCTGCTTGGTTATCAAAATTTGTCAGAATGCTAGTGCAGAAATTTTTAGTATATAGAAAAATGGCTGCTGACCTCACTATCACCATCACAGAGTACACTCACCATCGCATGCGCAGCCGTCAGGGCTGAGTGTATATCCTGGCTTGCAGCTACACTCGTATCCTCCTGGGTAATTCTTGCAGTACTGGTGACAGCAGGCCTCCTCACCTTCACACTCATCACTGTCTGTAACACATATCAACACACATTTATATATATTAAGTATTTAATCCTTACGTATGTCAAACAGTCATATACTTACAGTGGCAAACTGTGACTAGGTCTTCAGTTTAGGCCATGAATGTTACAACTTTACAACATCTACAGCGATAATGATCATTTGTGCTAGCCCTTATGGGATCTTCTAATCGTATGTTAGCACCAAACTAGTCCTGGTGCAAAACACTGTTCGACTATTCTGGATTAAATGCAGACATTTGAAGCTTGCAAAATACCTTCTTTCAATCAGTTTTTCAGTGACTCCTTCAGTAAAGTGTCCTGGCATAGAGCTGCCACTGCTGTTTTCCTTTTCTAACAACTGACTGAAACATGGCTATACTACTGCTCATATTCACAGTGAGTGATGTATCTGGGACCCCCAGAAGGTCTAGAGTGACTTTTTTCACGATTCTGGTCCCACCCACTGTAAATCAAAACATGATTCCACTGTCACCTCATAATTTGGTAGTTAAACTACAATGTAAGGCCTTCAGTCCAGCTTCTGAAGTCCTAATCAATGGGAGAGCTCGTTTGGCTATATCTACCCAGATATGACTGGACAGTTTTCTGTTTAAGATCTTAACCCTTTTGTTTAACAATGAAATACGAGTATTACTGGAATACATGCAAAGTTTTAATACAACAAGCATGATGATACTAATTAAATACAAATAAACAAAATAACAATAAACAGACACGTATTTTTCCCGGGGGTTTCCACTGAGTATGTACAGTGATATTAACTTTATTTAATCATTAAAAAAATCTTAATGGGATAAAAGATCTTAGGAGTGTCCTGGCCAAGATAGGCAACAATATTAACCATTAAAACAAATAACACATTACAAAAATAAAACAGAAAAATTAATAATCAACAACTCACAATAAAGCACTGACAGACAGTTTTACTTACTTCTACTGTTTGAAGAATGTTTTCGAAACAATTTAATTCTTTGTGTTACAAATTCCAATCAGACATCATCTTCATTTTCTTTACTGAATGCAAAATATGAGGCTTAAATGTCAAATAATGATCTAATGCTAAAACATGATAGTTGTATGTAGACACATTTTCAATCCTAATTCTGTTTAAAGTGGTGACAGAAGGTTCGAGGGCATTTTTACATTGCTTTGGTTTTGTCATTTAAAATACGTTTAGGACTATAAAATTTGCATTGTACAGTATTGAAAGCATCTTGTCAGTTATTCAAAGCTTTATTGTAAGTAGGTGCTGAACAGTAGATAACATTTGCATTCAGCACATTATGACAAAGACTATTAACCCCTTAATAGGCCAAGGGCCTGTCGGCTGGCCTAAAGTTTTATTATACACTTCCGTAACGTAAGAATAGATCAACCAGTTTGCATTGAAGTCCCTGTAGTTACTGAATAATAAGTCTTTGTATGTAATAAGGCTGTGATGACAAAAAAGAGTGTAAAACAAAACACAACATACAGTCCTAAGCTTATAAACTGGAAAGAATCCTGGAAGTCAGTGACAAGTAATAAAACTTTAAGCAGCTTAAAGATGCCACTACTTCTGCTATATATTTATGCAAAAAGGGAATGAGGTAGAACATCAGGTCCCCTGCAACCTCCATATTTCAAAAGCAATCTACTGCCAAAGTGCATACAGTAGTTTTTTAAAAAGTGCCAGAGCATAAAGATTGTTGCTATGTGCTTGAGCATTGCTTTGAACCACTTGAACAACTGGTTCTCTCAGCATCATCTGCAAAGAGCAGTCCTGATTAAAGCTTTAAGAGACGCACTGTAACCTGAGAATGGTCAAGGTCCATACCTATACACGTCCTGAGATCATAGGCGAGCTGGTAACCGTGGTTACAGGAGCAGACGGGGCCGCTGGTGGTGTGTTCACAGTGGTGGGAACAGCCACCATTATCCTTCTCACAGCCATTCACAATTTCCATCTCAATACCTGTGAAGACAGAAAAGTTGCATGTATATGAATTAAAACGTCTTTCTTTAAGTAGGTCTATACTGAAGAGCTTGGCACACAGCTAACAAACAAATCCAACAATATTCAGTTACCTTGCTAAATGATTTACTGCAAAATTGCAACATAAAATACCTTTCTGTGTTTAAGTAGACTTGGCCTAAGTAATATTGAACCCTCTGTGGTAAGTGAATGTACACCAACCTTAGCCTGGGACTTACATACTACAATCCCCATAGAAGTGCTAGCGGAAATTAACATTATTGTACTGTTTGTACTCGGACTACTTATGAATTGAAGACTTCTGCACTGCTAGAAAATAGTGTGCCGAGCTGTGGAAAGTTCACGAATTTACTACTTCAAAGAAGCATTAAAAATTTCTAAATTTCCTCAAACTTACAAGTACATATATATGGATCAGTTAAGCCCTCACTCGTTGATGTTTAAAAAAAGTACTTGATTATCAATGCAACTGATAGATTAAAAGTTCCCAAAAACGAACCGTTTTGATTTTTTTGCAGGGGACATGTGCTTCTCTGTCTGTGTTTTTAAACTTAGGGGTCTTAGTTGTAGCACTTTAGTCTGGCTAGCTCTCACTGCCTGTTGTTTATATGCTTCAAAATAGTGAGTTTCCTAATATTAAAAAGTGCAATATGGTGTCCCACAAGGCTCTGTTTTAGGGCCTTCACTGTTCTCCCTTTACTTATAGCCCCTAGATTATGTAATCCATACTTTCACAGTACTAAACTTGTCTTAATGGAAAATCTCAAGAAACGTCTTTCAGATTGCTGGGAAAACGGATATGAGAAAAACACCAAAAACAAGTTCTACTTGGACATGTAAAATCAGTAATAGATGTGGCACTGCATAAGGTTGTGCCCTGGGCATCCAGTTTCCTTCTTTTCAATGAGGTACGTGAGTGCCAATAACTCCACTTTGTGGAGAATCTTCAGCCTGCTGGTGAGTTTGTGAGTGAGTGAGTAACAACACAAGTCCGATAAGGTGCTTTGCATCTAAAAATCCCAAAACAAGTCCTAAAACAAGGTGTGTGCGTGTACTCACGGTAGCACTGTTTCCCGTCCACCCCCAGCTCAAATCCAGGGTTACACACACACTTGAAGGAGCCCAGCATGTTCACACAGCCATGAGCACACCTGGCCTGACCGGACACACACTCATCAACATCTGAGGAGACAAAGACACACACAGCATTAGCTAACTGGACACAGCGAACTAGGGGTGGGAATCTCTAGGCACCTCACGATTTGATTCGATTACGATTCAGAGGGCTGCGATGCGATTATAAAACGATTATCAATGCATCTTTTTTTTCTATATAGCATTTATATTTTCTCACTGTGTGAGCTCAAGTTTCGAGTTCAAGTTTCAAGTTTAATTGTCACTTGCACAACATGTCAGGACATTTATGCATTGAAATGCTTGTGGTGAGGCTCAGCTAATCACTCTACAGAAAGTAAATAAGTAAAAATAAAAATACAAGAAAAACCAACTGAAATATATTAAATATACCTAAAATATACACAGAATATAGAGACAATATACATTTTAAAGTGACTAAGTGACTCTGTGTTGTTATTTAAAGTGACTTGGTACTTTTAAAGTAAAGTATTTGTAATGATCCATAATGAATTTACTTCCAATATCTTTTTTAATAAATCAAATGGAAGTGATGTGGCAAGTGAACTAGAAGGCTCTCATTCACTGCTCTTGTAGCTCTGCTGCTACTCATCTACGATAAAATGCGCAGTTACGGTGAAATAAGATCCAGTGGTGATGGATGTCCACGCAGCGCGTTACAGCTATTCTACCCGGTTTCTTTAGTGATTTTATAACTTCGGTTTTGGTCTCGTTGTAGAGAGTGGTGGGATCGCTGTGTCAGTAAAGTATCTTTGAGACGGGACGTGTGCAACATAGCGCGAAAGCCCTGCTTCGCAACAACGTGCAGACTGCAGGTCACATAGCAACGATGCGTTATTCGCATTTATAAGCAGCACAGTTGGTTTCCTGGTACGTTAAATCTGCAACGAGAGACTGTCAGACACTAAAAAGTGGCGAAGCTGAAGTCAGCTTCTCTTTCGAATTCTCCCGTTCCACCTTAAATGGTGCCGCATTTACATTCGGTGCCTCAGTTAGAATTTAAGGTGGAACGGGAAAATTCGAACAAGAAGCTGGAGAATAAGAAGCGACTTCAGCCTCAGAAAACAGTCGAACGTTGAGAGACATTTAACTGATCTACTTCTGAAGAAAAATTTCCTGAGGGAAAGGAGAGGAAAGCGGCTGTAGACGAAGCTTAAAGCAGAGCGAAGTAAATCTGCGTTTTCGTTTATATTGTTTAGCCTAAACTAGGACATTAACACATACTGAGACATACTGGACATTAAATGTTGTGGCTCCCAAGATGGTTCGATTTTTGTTGAAAGGACAAAATGTTAACATTTGGGTTGTGACTCCTGATCTAACCTGGCTTTTAATGCAGAGGGAGCCGGTCGGATTTCTCGCTCAATCAGTGGTGTTTTTGTTATGTGCCACCACAGACTGTCCGGGCGCTGCACTTCCACACTTCCAAGTTCCGCCTTTTGCGTTCCGTCAACATTACGTTATAAATGAAATATTTGAAAATCAATTTTTGACATTTGTGAATTAATTCTGAATCATTCACGTCCGCATCACGATGCATCTAAGAATCGATTTTTTCCCGCACCCCTACAGTGAACACATGTACCTGTCACCATATCAGGGCACAGAAAATAAACACTCGTCAGTTGAAGAGGTTGAGATTCAGTGAACCATGAGTTCAGGTAGCGGATCACTGTCACAGACACTCGCTCTCACTTTCTTTTTCTCATGGACACCCACACACTGAGGCTAGTGATGAGCTGAACACATGGCAGGGTTAATTTGCCTTTGAATATACTGTGTTTGGGTGTCCAGACCTAACAGAGGTCAAGGCCCTGGTCAGCTGGGGGTGGGTTGTAAAGCTCTTAAATGAGACAGAAACAAGCAGAGAAATTCTGTCAAAAGTGTAGATCTCAAAATTTCTAACAAGACCACATTCTTGATTCTCGCAAACAGTCTTGATTCGCAAATAGAAAAACTATACATTAGGGCTGCAACAAGTATTCACAAGTGTTCAATAAATGTAACCATTAAAATATAAAAATGGAAAAGCCTTTTGAATGACCAATACATCTACGTCTTTCATGAACTTATGCACTTCCATGGGAACTAACATAGTACACCAGACCCAGGTTGCTAGACTCTTGAAATTTGAGGTGACAATTAACTGTAACTCCAGATGCAGTCAAAACACATACATATATATCTACTGTATCTCCTATGTCCACTTTTTAATTAATTAGGTGTATATGACTGAATTAACAACCTTTATTAAACAAATTTTAACCAGTTTATAAATGCTTTATAAGGGTAGTCTCAGTCTAAAATGTTTTTATGCTCAAATATGCTTTGCATATTTAAATTATTAGATTCAGCAAATAATCAGTAATTGTGCATAACATGTGCAGAAGTGTGTTCTCTGCAGAGGAAGTTAACCTTTTTTTTCACTTAAAATTTCAACAAAACATTGACCTGAGGTGCCCGAACTGTTGTATACAACTGTATGCGTATGTGCACCATCAAACATCCAGGGTTATTCCACAAGGCAGGATTTCCTGGGCAGCCAAAAAACAAGCCTGTCCAACAGAAGAAGAGCTAAGAAACATTTCTATTTGACAATCCTCAATTTAAGTTATCCAGCTTACTGAGAAATCCTTCTTTGTGTACTATCATGTTTTATGCAGTCAGTGTGTGTCCAGGTGCGTTGTGTGTGTATGTGTGGGTTTACCGTCACAGCTTTGGTGGTCTGTGGCCAGTGTGTATCCGGTTCTGCAGCTGCATTCTATGAGTTCATTCTCACTGCTGCACAGCTGAGCACATCCACCATTACCCTCCAAACATGGGTCCTTCACTTTACACACAGTCAACACAAAACAATTCACCTTTAGGCCAGAAACTTACTTCATGCAGGTATGCAAACACAACTTCATAACACAGCACAAGCGCTTGTTTATTTGTTCATTTTATCGCTGCTGCAAAGATGATTTGTTGTGCATTATTTTATCCATAACACATGATGTCAGTGTGTACATGCAGATGTTTGTTCACTAGAGATGACACTAATCTGATGGCAGGTATCATTACTGGGCCAATATCAGCAGAAATGAGCTCACACTCACATTGTGTGATGTAATGTTGTTAGCTGTGTATATCCTCCTGCGGGTAGTAGAGTATGTGAGTAGTGAGTATGGTAGCCTACTTTAGGCTCTCTATTTTAGTGAGGTGTTCATTTTAAAGCATAGTAGAATTTAAAGGAGAAATTGCATTGGTATCCATATCAGCTAATACTCAAGGTTTCAATATCAGCAAGGGTCTTGGAAAAGAGAAGGTGTTGTACCTTCTTTAGCGTCCACATTAAAGGGGAACTCCACCGATTTTGCAAAACTACATAATCATTCAACTGTTTAGATGTAAACAAAATCATTCAGAGTGGTTTGGTGTGAGTGCGAAATTTACAGAGCCTAAATTGTTTTCTATTACAGTATTAGGAGCCCGATGTCATTATGTCTACACTACAAATATCACCATTTTATCTGCTATCCAAAATGACCAGTGACCTTACATGTGTATTGTAAGGTTTTATACGTCATGATGGCAATGATAAAATAATAATATATTTTTTTATAATTTTTTAATAATAAATTTTTCCGTGTGTGTTTTCACCCAATCCCCAATATAAATTCACCCAAGATAACGTGGCATAATTGAGATTCCATGATAAATATTATTTTCAATTCGAGTAAACAGTAAACAATCATACTGATAAATACTTTTTATACTGTTCTTGCTGACTGGTTGATTACAGCTGCTGTACACACCTCTTTTGAAACTTTTCATTTTCCGTAGTTCCAGTGTTGCTTGGCGTTGTTATCTGTTCAGTGAACGCGCGTGCCTGAGGACCTGATTTGTCAAAGGGATCGTGAATTTGAGGGGGGAACTGAATCGAATACAACACCGGTGTCTATCACAAAACAACATCTCAGGTATCAACCAACGCATTCATAACCATTCTGTGTAATAACTTAATGGGATGTAGCTTTTACGGTCCGATTCCTAGTACCATAACAGAGAACAATTCTGCCTCTGTAAATTTCTCTAGAAAGGTGTATTTCACACCGAACCACTCTGAATGATTTTGTTACATTTAAACCATTGAATGATTAAGTAATTTTGCAAAATCGGTGGAGTTCCCCTTTAAAGACATTTATGAAGTGAAAGCAGCCTGTGTATGTGTGTGTGTACTTACATTCACAGTGCCTGCCATCACTCTTGAGCTGGTAGTCACGCCGACACTCACACTTGTAGTGATCGTTCCCCAGGTCCACACACGTGTGCTCACAACCGCCATTCTTCACCAAACAAGAGTTCACAGCTACAGGGAAACACACACAGTTAACATTCAAGGAAACAGTGTAATTTCTTAAAAGCGTTTGTACGATATCAAAATTGAGTGTTACATTAAATATCCAGCAAAGTTTAATTAAAAAACAAGATGGAAATATGACAAAACATGGATTAATTTATCATTTTTCTGTGCATGGCATAATATTCTAGTGAGCATGCATGATTGACACCCCTTAGTCCAACAATCCTAGTCTACTACGACACTCAAGCAGAATCAAACACAACAATGAGAGCAAGGAGAAATTAATGAAATAGCTTCTACTATGGTCTATCTAAAATTGTAACTTTACAGGAGAAGGAGAAGTTCGCTGGGCGAACGAACAAATGAACAAACAAATGAACGATCGGACATTTGAGCAAACAAACAAATAAATGAATGGACAGGCGGAGGAACAGACAAACAAATAGAAGGACAGATGGGCAAACAAACAGACGGACAGAGCAGACAAGCAGAGATAAACTAGCCTGATAGCTCAGTTATACTTGCTAGGCTAGCTTATACTTGTTGTTAACGTCCTTTCTGTAAGTTCTTCTGACACAAACAGAGAGCCTTGTGATTGGTGAGGGTACTGCTACCCAAAATTAGGACTGCCCAGTTTACTGCCCAGAAAGAGGAGAATATTGGAGACATACATCAGTCATTTAGTGGTAATTGAAAAGTTATCCTCAGGACATGTTTTGTAGATGTACATTGTGCGCCCACAAGAGCGAAGTTACCTTCTCAGACAGAAAACACGGATCTCCTGGGGCTTTAATATGCAACCAGCAGTGCTGCACTGGTGTCTGAATAAGGGAGTATACTGTGCCTATACTGTGGGACCTAAAAGATCAGTCTTCAAAGTTGGTTGCACTTTCTGCTTTTCATGATCCAAATAATCCCAAACACATTAAATGATGTTGAGGCCTGGACTCTGGGGTAGACAGTCCATTGTTCTGAGAACACCAGCAGCTTCTCTGCAAATGTTCTTCTTTTTTGTCTATCTACTGACATTGACAGCTTTCAGACCCATAGCGCTGAGCTGTCTTCTCACAGTGGAAGGATGGACAGAAACACCTGTGGATGATTTCAGATCTGAAGCAGCTTGATTTTCCTCTCTCTCTCAAAGATGAAAGCTTTAACTGCTGTTTATCTGATGGTGACAGTTTTGGTGGTCTACCCAGGCTTGTTTGATTCTTAGTCCCATTTACTCTATAAAATTTAATAATTTTTTGATCTCCCATTTTGGAAACTCTTACTTTCCTTTGACTTTCCCCTTTCTTATGCAAGTGGATTAAACTTCTGTGCATAAAGTACATCATAATATGCTTTTCTTAGTATGTTGTATATATAATATTTTTAGTATGTTAAGCACACTGAACAACTGCAAATTTGGCCCTACTGGAAACTATTTATAAGTTCCAACATATCTAACCAAACTAAATACTGTGATGCCTATTGTGAAAATATCTTGAAATATCTTGATGTTATATTTTTACCATATTGTCCACCACTATAATAGAGCATGATGGCACGAAGAACATTGCAGAGCATAGAGGAGCACACTGGGCACGTATGAATGAGCCTGACTTCTTTGCTTTCAAATCAAGCCCCCAAAAAACAGGTACCAACATATTTCTCGCTGTCTGTTGGTCGGGCTGTTCGATTATGGCAAAAATCAAGATTATCAAGATATTACAATTATTTAACTTGATTACTCTTCAACTTTGGAAACATCATGCATTTATTGAACCTCTAAAAAAACTGTTAAAAAGACTTAAATAAATAAGATTAGTTTTAGGGCTTTTAGGATTTATAACTCAAGATAAAACGAGATCATCATTGTGAAACAGAATGCGGCACAATAATCGTTTTACCTCAATTATCTTGTCTTTATAGTTATTGGAAGCCAAAATTGTAATTGAAAATGAAATTCAATTTATCACCCATCTAATCTGTTGATGGGTATTCGGTAAATAACTCATTTTAGAGGTGGGTGTATGATGTACACCTGTGCATAAGCACCACAACACTTTTGACAACGAGCAAACACAATCTTAGTCACGAGTGGGTACCTCGACTGTATGCGTGCCAGAAACATTTGTCAGGAATATGATATAATAGCTTGTAATGGCAAAGCCATATTTTTGAAATAGAGCTATGTTTTTAAGAAAGGAAAAAGGAAATCTTGTTGCAGAAGATAAACATACCTATTTGGATCACATACAGAAAGATTTCTGGAAAGAAGTTCTCTCTTTCTCCTTCCCTTATTCTCTACCTAAGTGTCTGATTGATGGCATCTCTGAGGGAATGGCTCCGAGCTGCTGTCTCACGCTGATGACATAGCCAGACATGTCTCAGAGTGATCATATGACCAAGCTGTGGAAAAGCCTGCTTGAGGGTGATGAGCTGAACAGCTCTAAAGCAGCTGTTTCTAAAGTAAGGCCTTTCTACAGTACAGCCTATCTAGTGATTTGAAGATATGCTGTTTGTACCATAAAATTCAGAACCAGATTCCAAAGTAGTCAGATTGCTGTTTGCTGAATGAAGCTTCAGACATCAATGATCACCTTTTTTTTATTGGAAACTAAACCACGTATTAATACAAGGCGTTTCTCATTTATTGCAGAAGACGTCATCCACAATGGATGCAGCAGTTAGCGACCCCTCACAGCTACTAACAAGCCTGTTACCTCAACAGAGCCTTCCTACACCTGATGGGTCTGCTGAAGAGTTTCATGGTGTTACTGGTGAGTGCCAGCTTTACTCAAAGCAACAGGTTGTTTCACCCTGAGGAAGCCCAGGTAGCTTTTGGAGCTTCTCCACCAAGAGAGCTCACCTTGGAATGAATGGTTTATGTGTGGGCCTTTCAAAATAAGAAATAAAAATAAATTAGGCCAAAATAAATTAGATGAGTTGGGGCTTTTAGAGAGAGGCTACACACTCACAGGCTTTGTTTTGGGACCTCTTCTGCTTTTGACTCTCTGTTCGTCGAGGGAGGAACGTTTATATGGGGGTTGGGGACTATATCACTCCAGTTCCAGCCCTTGTATTGCTGAGTGGGCTGATGGTGACAGTGAAGGAGAGAGGGACAGGGTGCAAGATGCCACTGCCAAAGAGGCCACACGTCCAAGGCAAGGCACCGCTACTCTAGTGCCCCTTCCCAATACTAAAAGTGCCACCATTCTAGGCTTTGCCAGTGGCCAAGAATAGCAAAGACGCTCCTGTTGCAAGGCCTGAATCAGAAGACATCTCCACCACTCCATCCACACCAAAGGATATCTCTACTGCTCCTTCTGCACCAAAGGACATTTCCACAGCCCTGTCTGCACCAAAGGACATGTCTGTATCTCCATGTCTGTATCAAAGGACATCACTGTTGCTTTGTCTGCACTGGGGGATGTCTCCATTGCCCCGTCTGCACCAAAGGACGACTAAACAGAGCTGTCTGCACCGAAGGACAACTTCGCAGAACCATCTGCACCAAAGGACATTTCTATAGCCCTGTCTACACCGAAGGATGTAATTTACTGAATATCTAAAAAAACTGTTAAAAAGACTTAAATAAATTAGATTATTTTGAAGGCTTTTAGGGAGGGGCGAAAGTGCACTGCTGTAAAGGTACGGGGTGCGCTGGATTTATAACACAAGAAAAACAAGAGAATGCGGCACAATAATAGTTTTATCTCAATTATCTAGTCTTCATAGCTGTCTACACCGAAGTATGTCTCTGCAGCTTTGTCTACACCAAAGAATGTCTCTGTAGCCTTATCTGTACCAAAGGACATCACTATAGCTTTGTCTGGACTGGAAGACGTCTCTGTAGCCGCATCTGTACTGAAGGACGACTTTACAGACCTGTCTGCGGAAAAGGGCGACTTCATCTGCACCGAAGGACAATTCTGTGGCCCGGTCTATACTGAAGGACATTTCTGCAGCTTTGTCTGCACCAAAGAACGAGTCCATAGCCCTTTGTGCCCTGTCTGCACCGAAGGACGTCTCTGTAGGCTTTACCCTATCTACACTGAAGGACATCTCTGAGGCCCTGTATGCACCAAAGGACGTCTCTGCAGCCCTTTCTGCTCCGAAGGACATCTCTGTTGCTCCATCTGCAGCTAAAGATGTCTCTGTAGCTCCCTGTCTACACAAGAGGACACCTGCCCCATCTGCATCTAAGCATGTCCTTGCATCCCAGTCTGCACCGAAGGATGTCTGTAGCCCCATCTGCACCAAAGGACGGCTCTGCAGCCCATTCTGCGCCGAAGGACATTTCTGTGGCCCTGTCTACGCCAAAGGAGATCTCTGCAGCCTTTTGTGCCCTGTCTGCATTGAAGGACATCTCTGTAAGTTTAACCCCATGTGCACCGAAGGACATCTCTGTAGCTCCATCTGAATCTAAAGTTGTCTCTGTAGAACCTGTCTGCACAAGAGGACGTCTCTGTTGCCCCGTCTGCACCGAAGGACGTCTCTGCAGCCCTTTCTAACCCGAGGGACATCTCTGTAGCTCCACCTGCACCTAAAGACTAAAGGATGTCTCTGTATTCCCATCTGCACTGAAGGACAACTGTGTAGCCCTGTCTGCGCCAAAGGCCTACCCTACAGTCCCATCAGCAACTGCTCTTTTCCCATCTTAGTGGGCTACTTGGCTGGCTTCCTAGTTCTATGCTCCAATGTCGGTCCTCTTGTGCTGTTTCTGTGCAGGCCCCTTTGAACTGCTCCATAGATGGCTCATATATACCACTTGGTTTTTGTCTACTTTTTACTGCATGCAATTCTAAGTCATTTCCAATGCATATACTGTAGTTTTCTGTCGTTTCTTGTGTTTTGACCCTTGCTCTGTTTTGTTGGTTTTGAATTATGGACCCTGACACTTGTCAGTGACTATGGCAGTGAGAATGTGTATACTGTATGTTACCCTACATGCATACGCTACATGCTTGTGTATGTGAGATGGTCTTACCTATGCATGTGCGAGCATCAGCATGCATGCGAAATCCTGCACTGCACTCACAGTAATACGACCCCAGTGTGTTCACACACTTCTGCTGACAGCCGCCATTCAGCTCCACACACTCGTCTACATCTGCAGGGACACACGCAAACACACCATGTTAATACATAAAAGCAACAAGACACATACACACAGTGATGCGCATACAAAGGCCTATATTCATCAAAGTTGTGTAGAAACAAGGGCAGATTTGCTCTTTCATTAAAAAAAGAAGAAAATTTGCTTTTGGGCCTTTAGGACTAGCGCGATCATATGTTTCTTGTTTCAATACAGGACAGAGGAGATGGGTCACACGTATCCATTTCATAATCCCCTTTCATACTGGAATGTAACAGTACTTAAGCAGGCAAAGGGATCATTGTGAAGTCTAAATCCCATTTAGACCACCGCAGCAATTTATCTGCATAAAACCTAGTACAGTTCCTGTGAAATTACTCAGATGGCTCAGTGTAAACATAAGCTAATACATTACCGGGAACGTTGAGTTATTGTATGATTCTAGTGGCATGCTGCTTGACCAAAGTGGCAAAAAACTGCTAATATCTTTTTTTTTGTTTGTTTGTTTGATGAATATAAAGCTTATATTCGACAACTGTGGTCTTCAATTACAGAAGAGAATGCGATTACAAACACCTGTCACTGTTAACGGACTCATAAACTCATTGAAAAGTGTTAGGGAGGTTTACACACCTCACACCTCACCATTACCTCACAGCATTGCCGGCACATTTAAGACATCATTAGGTTCTTTGCAAAGTATCATCAAAGTGCATGAAGTCATTGTTGTTTTGAACAAAAGTGGATGTTCATAATCAAAGTTGGAGAAAGTAGATGGAATCTGGCCAGACTTTCGATTCAGAACACATCTGTGCATGTTTACAGTTTTGAAAGTTCCAGAGCATGCCAGAGGTTTTGGAATACCGGCATTCTGGAACCTCCATTTGGAATGTTTCACAGTTTGATATGGAACAGGCTTCCATGTATTCTTGTGAGGAATGGTGCCCAGACAGTACCTGACCATTCCTGCGCGGGTAATTAAGATTTAGAGAACATCTGTTAAACACATCCTCACCGGATCTGCTTCCGCTGTGTGTCTCTGTGTGTGTGTGTGTGCGTGTGTATGTGTGTGTATGTGTGTGCATGCCTGAACTGAGTTCCATCTTCATTTAAAATGCTGATGCATCACAAATGCTTAAAACGGGCTCAAGGAATCACTGCATTACAGGAATGTTCTGATATATTGACAGGGTTTGTTCTTTGTTTACATGCTGTAAATACTCACTCACTCAATTGTGGTTTTATTGTGGCTTGCCATGCTTAAAAATCAACTCCAGCGGGATACTGAACAACAGAATATGGATAAAATTAGTCTTACTGATCCATACAAACTCCCACACAAAGAGTGGAATAATGATTTGATATGCTACTTCCTCTTCCATTCCCTTTTTCCTAGCTGGTGTGTAGCTTAAGGGCCTGTTTTCTGATCAAGTTACTCAAAGTCCATGTACAGTTTAAAAGCAGAAAACATCTGGTCCGGGACAACAGATGAAAATTGCCTTTTCGGCTAATTCTGGCTCATTTACAGTTCTCTTGATACTGTTTATTAATGAGTCAGAATTGTTCACAGTGGTGGTGATAGGATCCAGATGTCCACCTTTAAAAGCTTCCTCACAGACAGTTATTACATGAAATGGTTATGAATACTCCAGCCTGATGCCTGAAGGAATCTTTCAGTTGGCCACTGGCATATCTAACTCAGCTATTGGCATATTTCAGTCAGCCACTGGCATATTTAACTCAGCTATTGGCATATTTATCTCAGTTACTCACGTACTTCACTTAGCCACTGGCATATTTCAATCAGCATATTTAACCTACTAACTAGCCTATTTCAGCCAGCCACTGGCATATTTAACTCAGTTATTGGCATATTTGAGTCAGCCACTGATATATGTAACTCATTGGCATATTTCAGTCAGCCACTGTCATATTTAACTTACTGGCATATTTTAGTCAGGCACTGTCATATTTAACTTACTGGCATATTTTAGTCAGGCACTGGCAAATTTCATCAGTTACTGGCATGTGTAACTGATTACTGGTGTATTTCAGTCAGGAACCAGCATATTTCATTAGTTACTGGCTTATTTAACTCAAGGCATATGTCTGCCATCCACTGGCATATATCGTCAGTTACTGGCATATTTAACTCTGTTACTGGTGAATTTCATTCAGCCACTGGCATATTTTGCTCAGTTAGTGGCATAATTAATGCTTATTTTACTGTGCCTTTTAGCAAACACTGCTAGCCTAGCTTGTTAGCGAACTAAAGACATTATTGTACAGTGCTATATAAACCCCCACAAAAAGTCATAGTAGATCACACATGACTTGAAGATTACACCAAAAGGGACGTCAATCTAAAGAATTCTCGTAGAATATGAATTAGAATATAAGATTAGAATATAAAATGACCTTGAGTTTAATATTTATCAGCATTCTTGTTACAAGACTTGCTACACTAAAGCTGCATCTGAATAGTTGAATGAAACTTCCTTTCCAATCTACTTTCCTTAATTATGTTTTGATCTTTGATCTGGTAGCTATATAGACCAACATGCTAGCCAGAGTCCATAAACTACAGATCAGCCAAAATCAATGGAAGCAGGTGGAAAAGGAAGATTCAGTACCAGCCTAGACTGACTAGCCCTTCCAAAATGATGGATTACCCATAAGATTTTTATATATTTTTATACATTTTTATATTTTTCATATTTTTTTTCTATATTTTGTATTTAAACATTTGTGATACATCAGCATTTTGAATCAGACACAATACATTAATTTGTGGGAATTGTGGAAAACATAAATGAGAAGAATGCCTGCAAGTGCAAAGAACTGTTCCACACAAAGTGGCCAAACAGTGGCACTGGACAGGCAAATTTCCATTTTGGAAAAGTGAGAGTTTTTTCTGCCTAAAGCATTACTTGCATATTTGTTTTATTATAAATAATCTTTTTGTCAATGAAATCCAGACTTAGAGATTTAAGCATGCTTGTTATTGTTAGTGCTTTGACAATTACGTATGGTCATACCAAAAAGGAATACTGAATTCAACTTTATTGAGAGAGAGAGAGAGAGAGAGAGAGAGAGAGGCCATATGTTTTTAGTATTATTTTGATTATGTTACAGTATGCTGAACTGTCATGTAGCAAGATGGTTCTGATGTGTGTGTGTGAGAGAGAGAGAGTAATGGTAAAACTGAGTGAAAAAACACACCACTCTCTCAAGGTTTACTGCACTCTTGTCAGGGTCTCTTCTTCATCTGCACACATTTGAGTGATCTGTTCGGTTTAAATGGTTTCAGTGAAGCTTTTTCCATTCAGCTGTTCATCTTTGGGCCATAATAAACAGGAAAGGCAGGAAAAAATGTTAGTGTTACTGAACTTTCTATCTGGTTCGGCAAAGCAAGCTACTTGGAAACCAAGAAAGAGCTGGTTGTTAGGTCGGGGAGCAGTGAAAGTGGTAGCTATGTTTCTGGGCTTGGTGGCGGAACAAATTAAAATGGAGTACACATCTTACGAGCTGGTGGAAAACATGCCCAACACAGAGCTGCAGTGATGTCTTTTCTGTCTGTTGTCTCACCTGCTCTCTCCTCATCAACTGCACCCTGACCAACTGCAACCTTCAGCTCACTCAGCACTGATCTGTGATGACCCCCCCACCCCAACTCTACACACAGAGCATGTTTCCTTTGTAACATATGCCAGGTTTTGCCTGTCAGCACATTCTCTCTTTTAAACAAATGTCTGTTAGAGGTCTGCTACCCACTGAGCCCAGTGTTGCTGCTTGGGTCTGTTTTCTAACTCACGCACTCTCACGCATTTTCTCTTACGGTGAAAGAAAGTCACAGCAGATCTTTCCTTCTTGTTTGTCAAATGAGAATTCTGCTGATTTTCAGCATAAATAAATTGTCCAGATGTAAACAAAGTCATTAAGAGTTGTCTGATGTGAAATGTTTTCTAGAGAATCATACTAAATGTTCACAGTGGTGGTGATAGGAACCAGACCAGTCAGAAGAGCTTAATGCCTCTACAAGCCACTTCATATATCACTATATGTTGCTGCCTGATGCCCGAGAAGGTGTTTTATAATAGTCTTTAGAAGGTTTTGGCCTTGAATATTTGTTAGCTACTTCAGATTGATTATACTTTTTATGACATGTTTTTTCTTAACTAAGTTCTCAAATCACTATGTGAGGAGTTGGCAATTGGCAGTGATTACACTGGATGAACAATTCCAACAAAAAATATATGCCATTCCAGCTTATAAGGAGGCCACTAATTCACTGTTTTTCTGAGTAAGCTCAACTTAAACTACAATGTATAACCAAAAATATGTAGCCACCTGACCATCACACCTATATGAGGTTGTTGGATGTCCCATTCCAGAATCATGGGCATTAGTATGGAGTTGTATAAAGCTATCACAGCCTCCATTCCTCTGGGAAGGCTTTAAACAAGGTTTTGGAGTGTGTCTGAGGGAGTTTGTGCCCATTTAGTCAAAAGTACATTTGTGAGGTAAGGCACTGTGCTGGACGAGAAGACCTGGCTCGCTATTAGCATTCCAATTCATCCCAAAGGTGCTCAGTAGGGTTGAGGTCAGGGCTCTGTGCAGACCCCCGGGGTTCCCAAGTTGTCAAATCACATCTTTATGAAATTTGCTTTGTGCAAAGGGGCACAGTCATGCTGGAACAGGAAAGGGTCTTCCCCAAACTACTGCCACAAAGTTAGAAGCATATAATTGTCTAAAATGTCTATGGTGTATGACATTGTTATATGACAGCCCATTTTCCCTCCTCCACCAAACTTTACAGTTGGCACTACACGTTCTGGTAGGTAGCGTTCTCCTGGCATCCACCAACCTAGAATTCATCCATCAGACTGCCCAGCAACATGGTTCATCAAACCAGAGAACACTATTCCACCACCCCTGGTGGACTTCACACCACTCCAGCTGGCACTTGGCATTGTGCATAGTGACCTTAGGCTTGTGTACTGGAAAACATTTGACTGAACTAAGTTGAGAAAATTAAAAGAATGCTTCGGTTGACTTAAAATTTCATTTTGTTTAAGTTCATTTTGCAGTTTGAACATTAACTTCTTTTCAAACACTGTATCGCTAGTGTGCATGGTTACCTTGGCAGGTCTTGCCATCTGCTCCCAGTGTACTGCCCTCAGGACACCTGCAGTAGAAGCTGCCAATAGTGTTACAGCATGTCCCCTCACATCCGCCATTAGAGCTCTCACACTCATTCACATCTGGAGAGAAAGAGAGATAGAGAAAGAAGGAGACATATTGAGACTAAGTTACAGACAACACAATTAAACCAGGGACAGTTTGTGAAATGCAAATAAAAACAGAAATCAGGGTTTGTAGATCCACTTTGACCTGCATTTAAACAGACATAATACAAGATATTTAATATTTTACTTCATTGTTTTTTTGCAAATATAAACTGCAACACCTTCCAAAAAGTTGAAATAAGACAATTTAAGGCTAAAGAAATCATCTTAAACAGAATCTGTACTGTACATCTAACTGTACACTGCAATGCAGCTTCCTCTTTACAGCTTTGTTCTAAAGTCTCTTTCTATTTTTTCCCCTTTTTTGGTGGCAATTTTTCCAATTATCTTCACAATTTAGAGCCCGTTTACACCTAACCACTTCATGCTTTATCATTATCAGGATTATATCTGGATAAGGCCAAGCCACACAAAAATGCAAGTGTAAATGCACCCATAACACATTTAAAACAGACACAAATCCGATCTCTCACACCACTTCGGGAGGTGGTTTGAGACACATTTGAGCCACATGAAGCAGTGTAAATACAGTTGTAGCCCCAAGACACATTCGGCAATGAAAACCCATCCCAGTACAAACTAAACCCCTCTGTCCCACACAGCAATCAGATTTCAGTCCGACTGACCAGAGATGCATTTGACTACAAAGTGTAAATGCATGTGGCTAAAATATTATCAGGATATAATCCAGATACTAGTCACACTAAATGACCAGATGTAAACGGGGTCTTAGTCATGTCCAGTTCCACCTGATAGCTAAGTGCTCCCCATTACACAAAGCTACTAAGCTGGAAGGGTGAAGACCAGCAGGTGGTTCCTCAAAGTAATTTGAATCATATTCCTGAACATCATCGTACAGCTCAGTGCACTTGGAGAAGAATGCTAAGTGGCAGCTCTGTCAGCTAACAGATGCCTGCATTGGCTAGCATCGTGCTGAGGGATGGGGAGAGAGAGAGGGACATCCAGAGACAGCAAGGCCAATTATAATGTCTTGGACTCCCAACCATGGATGGCTGTGGCAGCGACAGGGATCGAACTTGCGATCCCCTGATGATAGGGCCAACGTTTAGACGGTGAGTTTATTTTGGAAGATTTGTGTTTTACTACGTATTATTGGAATTGAATACTTGTAGTTTTACTGAATTACACTGCCAAGAGAAAAACTTCTTTACATTTTTCTTTTTGACCTTAAATGTACTCGAGTACTATGAGTTCTGGTGCATTTTGACCAAATCAAATGAAATTAAACTGCCCACAACTATGCTAATTTGTCTCAACTAGTACTGTCCATTAGTCACCACACTGCACACCACCAAACAAAAAGGTTTTCATTTAACTGTTAAAATATTTACTTTTATAAACATGAGTATGTTCAAAAGTAGATTTTGGCTTTCACACAAGTATATTTTTGGCTCAATACTTCCACTTTTAATGTAGTAAGATTTTGACAGAGTACCCATATTTTCACTTGGTGTGTGATTTCTCTGTTTTCCATTTAGGGAATTTTAGTGATTCTGGAGCTCTTGGCAAAAGACAGGCATTGCGCTCCCTGGAAGCACATTTTTTTAATTAGTTGAGATTCTGGGCTCCTGAATGGTGCAGCATAAATTTTTATGCATAAAATAATATCTTAGCAAGTGAACTCATCTTAAAACAACTAAAGTTGCAAGAAAGTTTCACCCCAAAAGCCAGCCTTTAATTAGTGTGACAAAAAAAACACACATTGGCTGTGTTTACATGCAAAGATCTTTGCAAATCCGATTAAATACATTCCGATTACAGATTAAGATTGAGGTGTTTATGCTCACTCTACTCAACAATCAGATGGAAAATATCCGTTTACAATCACACTACGAGTAATCAGATCCAAAATGACGCACATGCGTAGGGAACCACTTAGCGTAGACGATACCATGACAGCGAACATCACGTGAGTCCAGTCAGAGTGAGATTTCAGTTTGCGCGCTTGTGTTTTTAATTGCTTTAAAATTATGTCTGACTCAGAAAAATGTGCTTCACATGTCCTCTAAAGAAGGGTGAGAGGAAGACGTCATGTTCCGAGACACATAAGCTGGACGTCCGTCCCACCGCTGTCTTTTAAAGTTCAGAGCATAAACTTCGTCTCCTCTGCAGACCAGTTTCTGCTCCTGCCATGTTGAACGTTATAAACTTATGCTATGATGCCATGCACATGTGCAGAACGTACTTACACGTTCTGATTGGGAATGTAATCAGATACAAGCATTCACACGGCTATTATTCTTCTGTTTAACGGATAATTTACAGGATTACCCACCTCATTCAATTGGTTAGAAATTTTATTCAGAATGCATCAATCAGACTAGTCTCTTCCGTTTGAGATGTATACATGGACGTATTCTACTCCGACTGAACTATTAGTCAGATTATTAACAGATTATCAGGCTGCATGTAAACATGGCTATTAATAGAAATCGAGGTGCTAAATTTCACATTATTATTTTATTTTTTTTTGTTTGAAAAGCTGTAATTATAAATATGGTAATGTAGGATACATTACATAAATATGTAATGTATGAATCAAATAAATAATCCCACCTCAACCCAATCAAAACATGAAAAACACCAGAGCTGATATAATGGACAGGGCAAATATGAAGTAGAAAGGGGAGGGAGGAAGATTCACATCATTCAAAACATCATTCACTCCCCAGCCCATGCAGCCCATATATGGAAACTAAACTAAAAAAAGGCCTGTTTTGATCTCACTTTCTACGATGTCATGAGAACCAACTCATTTACATACATACTGCCTCTCTCACACAGTTATACAGTCGTATGCAAAAGGTTGAACAAATCCTGGTCAAAAATGTTTTGGCCTACATCACATTAGACCTGCCCATTCATATTGAAGTTACAAAGGCTGTTTCAGCCTGTGCGGCTTTTTGTATGAAGCACAATTCAAGGCAGCCAATCAGAAGTGAGCTCACGTACAAACATTCATATGCAAAAGTTTGTGCACCCTGGGTCAAATGACATGTTTTGTTGATTTTATAAGTGAAAATAAGTTATCACACCCTGTACAAAAAACACACTTTAAGAACTGCACATTGTAATGCACAATAACAATTATTTGCTGGATTTAATATATTTGGGGGAAAAATAAGAAAAATAATGGCCTGTGCATAATGGTAAAAATAAATAGAACTTGTGCACTATGTTTGTCCCCCTGTATCAGATGTGTTTGCTTAATTTCACTTAGAAAATCAACAAAAATAATTTGGCCAGGGGTGTTCACTTTTGCATATGACTTAAAAGCACAGTTAATTAATGAAATTAATAAAAAAGAGGTTGGAAAATGGTTATGTAAATCAAGCACTGATGTTCTATCAACTTACACGCAACTCTTTTGTTTGTAGGGTTTGTTATCCGTACAATAAAACATCCATACAGTACATTACCGGTATTGTCTCTCTCGCCATCGATAAGCTGCATCGTTTATTGGAACCACACCAAGCAATTTCCTAAACTCAGTGTAGTAATAATGTTCTGCTCAGATCCCAGTTTGGTGTCAGTTCTCTCATTTGAGTCCTCGAGTCACAAAGTTTAATAACCCCCATCAGGGTAGAGAAATGTACCCTGAAGAGCACTGACCAAAAGAAAACAATATGAAACACTGCAATTCAAAGGAATCAAAGAGTTGCAAAACACAGTATGGCTGTTAGACTGGATTGTCAAAGTTCAGAGGTCATATTGTGGTTTAGTTTAAGACGTCCCACTTGACAGAACACAGATGCTTCTGTACAAAGCCGGCAATTACTTACACTGGCTTTGCACGTAAACGTCGGAAGATATTTCTAACGAAACCCCCCGCTGATGGACAGACGAGCTAGTTTTGATGTCTGTTTGTTCTCAATCACCTCAGCCACTGCTTACGGTGACACACACACACACACACACAAACACACACACAGAGTTTAAATGGTTTCCAGCTTGTTTGTGTCTTTACCTCTCGTTAGTCATTTCCCTTCAGTACAGGCCCTGTAATAATGTCTGCTATCTGTAGGCTCTAACAACCCTCTCTCACACACAGTCATACAGTCGTATGCAAAAGGTTGAACAAATCCTGGTCAAATTACATGTTTTGTAGATTTTCTAAGTGAAAATAAGTTTTCTTTTTATGGGCAGCAAACTTAAATGTGGCATTGTCCTGCAAATATTAGTGCAACAGTTAGCCTAGTTTCATTTTACATTGATATAAATTTGGTTGTAGTTTTCAATAAAAACAATAAATCTATATGCACAAGAACTCGGCTAACTGGCAAGAGAAAAACAGAAACACTTCCTGGCCTTTCAGATTTGTTATGACTACTAAGTGAAGATCAAAATAAAAATGTAAAGATGTTTTTTGACTAAAGTACCAATACTCCAAAGTAATAACTAAGCACAGTAACAAGTTCTAAAAACAGTATTACTTAAAAGAAAGAGACAAAGAGTGAAGTTCAACAGAAAAAGCTAAATTGCACTGTACAGTTAGATGTATAGTTGTGAGCACATATGCACAGAAACCCCTGGTCAAATCGCACACATACTCTACAGGGAAAGTCAAACATACAATATAAATGCAAAATAACTTTTTCACAGGCCACATTTAATATTTTTTCCCCCGATATATTAAATAAAGTACTTGTTACAGGACAACAGTAATTGTGAACTAAAATGTGCAGTAAAGTGTGTTGTCTGTGGAGCATACCGGGGTGCCGAAACTTTTGCACAGAAACTGTACATTATGTATAATAAACCAAAGAGATTCTACTAAATAACAGATTGCATTACAACAGTAGATTCAGTAGAACAGTAGCTCCATTTAATTAGAAGTAGTTAGGAGGGAAAAAATGTAAATATATATATATATATTTCAATCATACATCTCTATGTATTAACATCACAGGCACAGGCTAAGAAAAAAAGTCTGT